CCTAGGCAACCACAACCGGGTAATTGGCAAGGAAATGGGCCCAGCTTAGCTGAATGGCAGCAGTCTCAGACACAGGCTCCACAGGGCCCAGTGAACCCGTGGGGAGAACCAAATCATGGATACTAGGGATGCCCAGGGAATCCTAAAGGGGAGGGTCAGCTAGTGGCAGTAACTATGCAGGCTGATGAAGAACCTATGCTGCAGGTTCAGGTGAATCATAGAGGCACACCAATGATGATAGATACTGGAGCAACGTACTCATGTGTAAGTCCAGATTATGCCTCTCACCTCCCCATATCAGGCAAATATGCAAAGACAGTAGAATTTTCATGACAAATGCAGTTAATACATATGACAGTTCCAGTAAAACCAGAAGCAGGAAAAAGCTACATGTATACAATGAGGGAAAAAAGTATTTGATCCCCTGCTGATTTTGTACGTTTGCCCACTGACAAAGAAATGATCAGTCTATAATTGTAATGGTATGTTTATTTGAACAGTGAGAGACAGAATAACAACAACAAAATCCAGAAAAACGCATGTCAAAAATGTTATAAATTGATTTGCATTTTAATGAGGGAAATAAGTATTTGACCCCCTCTCAATCAGAAAGATTTCTGGCTCCCAGGTGTCTTTTATACAGGTAACGAGCTGAGATTAGGAGCACACTCTTAAAGGGAGTGCTCCTAATCTCAGCTTGTTACCTGTATAAAAGAAACCTGTCCACAGAAGCAATCAATCAATCAGATTCCAAACTCTCCACCATGGCCAAGACCAAAGAGCTCTCCAAGGATGTCAGGGACAAGATTGTAGACCTACACAAGGCTGGAACGGGCTACAAGACCATCGCCAAGCAGCTTGGTGAGAAGGTGACAACAGTTGGTGCGATTATTCGCAAATGGAAGAAACACAAAATAACTGTCAATCTCCCTCGGCCTGGGGCTCCATGCAAGATCTCACCTCGTGGACTTGCAATGATCATGAGAACGGTGAGGAATCAGCCCAGAACTACACGGGAGGATCTTGTCAATGATGTCAAGGCAGCTGGGACCATAGTCACCAAGAAAACAATTGGTAACACACTACGTCGTGAAGGACTGAAATCCTGCAGCGCCCGCAAGGTCCCCCTGCTCAAGAAAGCACATATACAGGACCGTCTGAAGTCTGCCAATGAACATCTGAATGATTCAGAGGAGAACTGGGTGAAAGTGTTGTGGTCAGATGAGACCAAAATCGAGCTCTTTGGCATCAACTCAACTCGCCGTGTTTGGAGGATGAGGAATGCTGCCTATGACCCCAAGAACACCATCCCCACCGTCAAACATGGAGGTGGAAACATTATGCTTTGGGGGTGTTTTTCTGCTAACTTCACCGCATCAAAGGGACGATGGACGGGGCCATGTACCGTCAAATCCTTCCCTCAGCCAGGGCATTGACAATGGGTCATGGATGGGTATTCCAGCATGACAATGACCCAAAACACACGGCCAAGGCAACAAAGGAGTGGCTCAAGAAGAAGCACATTAAGGTCCTGGAGTGGCCTAGCCAGTCTCCAGACCTTAATCCCATAGAAAATCTGTGGAGGGAGCTGAAGGTTCGAGTTGCCAAACGTCAGCCTCGAAACCTTAATGACTTGGAGAAGATCTGCAAAGAGGAGTGGAACAAAATCCCTCCTGAGATGTGTGCAAACCTGGTGGCCAACTACAAGAAACGTCTGACCTCTGTGATTGCCAACAAGGGTTTTGCCACCAAGTACTAAGTAATGTTTTGCAGAAGGGTCAAATACTTATTTCCCTCATTAAAATGCAAATCAATTCATACATTTTTTTACATGCGTTTTTCTGGATTTTTTTGTTGTTATTCTGTCTCTCACTGTTCAAATAAACCTATAATTAAAATTATAGACTGATCATGTCTTTGTCAGTGGGCAAACGTACAAAATGAGCAGGGGATCAAATACTTTTTACCCTCACTGTACCTATATTAGTATCAGAACAAACTCCAGTTAATCTAGTAGGAAGAGATGCACTGTGTAGAATGGGGGTCCAAATTAAATGCACATTAGAGGGACTAATAATAGTTCAGGAAGGGGTATGTCCACAGATGATGATGGCTACAGACAAAACAGCAAATGTATACTGGATAGGGAACATAGAATCACCAATACAAGAGATATTAAAGAAGTGGGGAAAAATTTTCAGGGCTAAAGTTCAAGAAATGAGAGTACCAAAATCAGGCTATCATTGTACACTGCAATATGATTCATATCAAAATAATTTGCTAGAACAACTATGGTTAAGGAAGGCATGAGGTAAACCAGCTTCCATGAGATCGCAATATTTTGTAATAGGAAAACAAGGGTCACCAATGGTGCTCTAGGATCTGATATCATACAGACCTGGTTCATAACACTTTTAGTGGCCAAGGGAAAACAGCCAATGTCGTTGTTTACTTTTTTGAACACATGAATCACGATGTGAATCATGTGTCCAAAGGGGGGAGTACTGGTTAAAACAGAGTGACTGTAACAGGCCACCAGTACTAAAGGCAGACAAACAGAAGTGGACATTGGTTCATGACCTGAGAGCAGTAAATGAAGTAGTTCAGGATAAAGCAGAAGGTGCCTAATCCACACACACTGTTAACAAATGTTCCACCAGAGGCAAAATGGTTCTCAGTAATAGACTTATGTGGAGCATTTTTTTAGTGTACCCTTGGCATGAGAAAGTAGACACTTGTTTGCATTTACTTACAAAGGACAGCAATTTATGGAGTACAGTGGAATTATTGTCATGTTTGTTTATAGTTAAAACGTTTGGGTGGCTGATTAAGATGTACTATAGTAAATGTTAACGAAATGTACATTTTCTGTTCCAGGAGAATGGGAGTTTCAATATCTCTCTTTGGAATGTTTCCTGAGACTGTGAGCTGAGGAGAGCAGTTAGTAAAACTCAGCAATCTTGTAATTAGGCCGCAAGAGGGAGATACCAAATTAAATAAGGCCTAGCCATTTGTTTGTTTTTGCCCTACGTTTCACCAGCACACACGACCCACCTATTATTAATATTTGTAGTTGGGTAGGGTTTTATTTTTGGTAGAAATAGGGTAGAAATAATACACCTTAAAGGGCACATAAAGTACATTTTTTGACGTTTCTATTGCCAGACAATGACAGTCATTCAATTAACCCATTTCAGCTAACATTTTTTAGATTGGTAAATTACTCTAGCCAGCTATCTAAGCTTGTAGTAATCATGGTCGAATTACCGACTGGGGGGCCCCCATTGATTTTGTTAGTCACTCACACTCAGATATCATATTAAAAACTGCAAACATTTCTCTCCACCCTATGGCAAAATTAGTAGAATTGCATGAAATTAGTTATAAAATTGAAAAATCTTATGTCCGCCCATGGCAAAATGTGTGGTATTGCAAACTTGCTTTAAAACTGCAAAATGTTCTCTACACTCCATGGCAAAAAACTCTAAAACATCAATTTTTTTCTGCCCGCTGTCAATAGGGGGGCCTCTAAAATGTTTTGCTCACAAGGTGGATGTGACTGCATGTGTGGGTATGGATGTGGGTATGCAGACATTTACATTTGAGTCATTTAGCAGTTGCTCTTCTCCAGAGCGACTTACAGGAGCAATTAGGGTTAAGTGCCTTGCTCAAGGGCACATCGACCCAGCAATCTTTCGGCCACGGCAGCCCCTCATGATGAGTTCAGATTTTTTGTGGCACCCACCCCATCAAAGTTGCCCATCCCCAAACTAGAGGGTTATATAAACTGCTGCTACCATCTCTGGCACAGCATCTTGGTCATAACCTGTCACTCAGTTCACATAATAATACCCCATAATACTCATTGGTGGATTACCAATGATTATCACCAACTGCTTTTTAGTGTAGGCTTAATTAATATGTGACTGTACATTTGCCACCCATATTGATTTACAGTTTACAATAACTGTTACACATATTCTGGAATTTACCTTGCACACCCATGCTAAAGTCGTCACTAGTTATCACAGCCACAAAGTCATAATTATGGTTTAATCCGACTATTTACAATTTCTCTTCTTAAAATCTGATTTTAAACCAGTGGTATTCGGGGGGTCGCGGTGGGGTCACCAATATTTGCCCCAAATTATTATTATTATTGTATTTATTTTTAGGAACAAAAAATTAAGCGTAGGCTACAGATTATTGTATGGGACAATATACAAACGTTTTTAAGAAAGATCATTTGAAAGTAAAAATTGTATTGAGTAAATGTATTTATTGGTTTCTTTTAATTTTGATAAGAAATTAAAATGCAATTATTTATTGAAGGTTATTTGTTGATTTAAAAATCTAAATGTACCGATTTTAAGGTTGTGTAATTACTGGCAGAAAAAATGGGGTCCCGCTGAAAATGTTTGAATACAACTGATTCAAACCTAACCCAAAACCTAACCTTAACCACAATGGGAACCGTATCCCTAAACCTAACCTTAAATTAAGACCAAAAAAGCACATTTTTGTTTTATAATTTTTTTTACGATATTGACTTTGTGGCTGTGGTAACTAGTGAAAACACCATGCTAAACCTGACGTAATTGTTACAGGAGTACAAGAAACGTGAGAGTAGAAGGTAGCTACATTCAAACATAGTTGACCATTGAAAATTGGAAGTTTGTTGTAAAAAATAAACTTTTATGTTGAATATTCACTGAAGAATATGTGTTATTTGTAGATTTTAATTACAGATTAATTTAAACTAATCAAAGACAGGCAACACTCACTAGTATGCCCTCGTATTCACCCCCCTTTTGCGTAGTGCCTAGCCCAGATCATGTCCTACTACTCCTAGCGAGAAACAGGCGAAAAATATTTGGCTAGCTAGCTAAAGATTGCAGAACCCTATCTTGGGAAATATAATAATTACTGTGAAATTCCTTTGTTTTAAAACGTGTGACTTCTAACCGTATCTATACTTTTTTGTTTTCCAACTTAAAAAGATGTCAACTCCAGCAAGACGGCGTTTAATGAGAGATTTTAAACGGTATGTGGGAAGAGTAGCTAGGGCTAGGTGAATCGGTTAGCTAGTTAGCTCACTTTACAGCTAGCTAGTTAAATGTTAACTTTACGTTATCAAACGTATCTGCTACTGGATAACTTAAGTTACTAGTTAACACATGGATTGTTAACATAAAGATAACGTTACAGGTTAATCGTTTCAAGTTGTAGCGAACGAGCTAGCCATGCCAGTTAGCTCTAACGTTAGCCTATTTAATTAACTAGCTAACTGATAACGTTAGCTAACTAATGCTAACCATCGAAAATACACGTATTTCTCAGGCTTCAAGAGGACCCTCCTGCTGGAGTTAGTGGAGCCCCTTCAGAAAACAATATCATGGTATGGAATGCTGTAATTTTTGGGTAAGCGACTGGACTTCAAAAGTAATAGCTAAACTAGCTAGAACAAGTAGAGCTGTGTAGTACAGTAACACCGGTACCCGCAAAATCAATGACATGTCAGTCAACAAAGTAAGGTATTATTAGCTATGAACTTAATGTTAATTTACAAGCAATTACAGCTCTTAGCCTAAGCATTTAAAGTTAGCTAGCTAACGTTAGTTGCCACAGGTGATTAGCTAACGTTATATTGAAACTGTTTTCTCTCTTACCCCAGCCCAGAGGGAACACCTTTTGAAGATGGTAAGTAGCTAGCTGTGTGTTGACTTTCTGTAGTTGCTACATTCTTGTGTATGTGTTTGACAACTCAAATGGAAGTGATCAGTACCATAATAATGCCTCATTAATTGCCATGGGAGACCTGCTAGTTGGAACAGTATTGTAGACCAGGTGGTGTCTTATCAGAAAAGTACAGCAATCCAGTTGACTGAGCTTCTTTCACCTGTTGCATGGTTGAGCTGAGATTACTGCCTGCCAGCAAATGAATGACGCCTGTGAATGGGTTAACCCTTGGGGTTTTGGGTCAAAACCAGGGGATTGTATCTGTTTATGACATATGTCAGTCAGTGAATATGCATATCAGACCCTAGCTCTCAAACTAGGGGGCATTCTGCCATCTCCCTACAGTTGCAGGGTGTGGGGTCCTTATGCTTCCAAACCGCACCACAAGCGATGCATGTTAATGTTCAGACCGAGCGTCAGGTATCTAAACAAAACTCCCTCCTACAGAAGACCCCTTTGTCCAATGACTTTTATGTGTGATCAAGGGCTAATCGGACCCACCAGTAATCCTCTATTCTAGTAAATGTCCCTGATTGAGTTGCATTTATGTACATTAGTGCATTAGGATTTTTTTCTTCTGTATACTAGATAATGTTCTCTGGTATTGGAATAACTACAAAAATGTATTGGCCAAATACAGTATGCTTATGCTATTTGGTTGCTCAAAACATTTTGCAGCAAGAACAACTTTGAATTTGTTTTTAGCCATTCTGTTTTAGCCTGGTCACAGATCTGTTTGTGCTCTTGCCAATACCAACTCCATTGTCGTCATTGTCAAGCTAACCGGTTACCCTTGTGTGATGTTTTAGTGCCAACTTGGTTATAAATATTCTCTCATATTTCAGGAACTTTCAAACTCACAATAGAATTCACAGAGGAGTACCCTAACAAGCCTCCAACAGTGCGTTTTGTCTCCAAAATGTTTCATCCAAATGGTACGTTTTTCTTTTCTGGATAGGTGGCCACGGCATTTTAGAAACATGCTTATTGCTTACCGGATTCTTTTATAATGGAACAGCTGAATCTTTGTCAACAAGTCAATCCACCAGTCATTGTTATGAAGAGTAAATGTATGTTCTGTATTGTGCAGTCTACGCAGATGGTAGTATATGCTTGGACATTCTTCAGAACCGCTGGAGTCCGACTTACGATGTTTCTTCAATCCTAACTTCAATACAGGTATACTCAACATTCTCCAAAAAATGCATACAATAAATACTCATAAATCGCTGAATTCTTGCCTTGTAAAGATCTTTTCATGTGCTTTAATATGTCCTCAAATAATGGTGCAGTCTGATTCAATGTTAGGAACAATTTCTTTAAAAAATCAAGTAAAAAAGGAATACTATTGTTATTGAAAAGTGTCTATTATTGCATTGTCCTAGTCTTTACTGGATGAGCCCAATCCCAACAGCCCAGCCAACAGCCAGGCAGCTCAGCTGTACCAGGAGAACAAGCGGGAGTATGAGAAGAGGGTGTCTGCCATCGTGGAACAGAGTTGGCGCGATTGTTGACCCCCTCACCGTTCACAAAGTATGAACAATATCCAGCCTCAAGTCAAAACGAAAACACAAAAGAATCTCATAAAGGAAATGAAATACACATCATGGTTTGAATCTTTCTCCGCATTATGTTTGTATGTTGTTGTGGTTTCACTTCATGCAGAATGCTCCTCCTGGACAAGAACACATCTTCATCAAAGTAAATGTACCTTGTTATATCTGGATTACTTACAATGTAATTTACCCCCATATTTTTATCTTGGGACAAAAGGTATATGTTCATTAGGAGTTACATCTGTATCTTGTCATTTTAGTGGTTTTAAGTCCTCTTGCTTGCAATGTGATTTGCTGTGTGGATTTTGTAATTTATTTTTTATTCTTTGAATGTTTTGTTTCTAGCATCTCTCACACATTTGCCTTTTTGAAGCTTTAGTATGATAGTAACTAAAAACAATATGATGAACACCTGTCGTGGTCCTCTGTAGCTCAGCTGGTAGAGCACGGCGCTTGTAACGCCAAGGTAGTGGGTTCGATCCCCGGGACCACCCATACACAAATATGTATGCACGCATGACTGTAAGTCGCTTTGGATAAAAGCGTCTGCTAAATGGCATATTATTATGGACTTCTTTCCCCAAACAATGTCAATCGCAATATCCTACCCTTTTTTCATGCACAAAGCATGTTCTTGTTGGGGCTTTGTGCAAAATGGCGCTTTCATCAATGAATTATATACAGTGGCTTGCGAAAGTATTCACCCCCCTTGGCATTTTTCCTATTTTGTTGCCTTACAACCTGGAATTAAAATGGATTTTGGGGCCTTTCAGAACAGGTGTATATATACTGAGATCATGTGACAGATCATGTGACACTTAGATTGTACACAGGTGGACTTTATTTAACAAATTATGTGACTTCTGAAGGTAATTGGTTGCACCAGATCTTATTTAGGGGCTTCATAGCAAAGGGGGTGAATACATATGCACGCACCACTTTTCCGTTATTTATTTTTTATACTTTTTTTAAACAAGTTATTTTTTTTCATTTCACTTCACCAATTTGGACTATTTTGTGTATGTCCATTACATGAAATCCAAATAAAAATCAATTTAAACTACAGTAATGCAGCAAAATAGGAAAAACGCCAAGGGGAATGAATACTTTTGCAAGGCACTGTACATCAGAAATTAAGTGTTTCAGAAAGGAACGTACTTGGTGCACTTTTAAATGCAAGTCGTGTAACGCTATGATTCAAAAAAAAAAGAAGGCTATAAGTAACCATGTTTCCATGCAGTTTTTATGCAAGTAAAGTCATATCGTGTGTATATATTTTTAAAAATCACAACAGCTGTGTGTAATTTTATAAATGCCAGATAATTTGTTTGTTCTACATGGTGGGATCTTTTTGTGTCGGTAAAATGAATTATGTGGGAAACGGTCGTGAAAATACCTTTATGCGCAAATATTGATATAATAACCATAATATCAAAGTACATTTGGAGTCGTGGTGATATGGTGTGTGTGGTCCTCCCACTATGTATCGGGCAATCATGCAGTTTATTACGCTACAGATGAAATACATTTCACAGGGTGGTGAAAGTGCACGTGATAAGCTTGATGCCGCTTTCCAATAAATATTGAGGGTCTTATTCTGGTGACATGATGATCGATGCTTGACTGCCGTTTGACAAATACATATATTCTCGCGTTTATCCATAATCTCATGTAGACTAGACCAGGATTTCCTAAACTTGGTCTTGGGGCTCCCCCTGGATGCACTTTTTTTTTTGTTGCCCAAGCACTACACAGCTGATTCAAATAATCAAAACTTGATGATGATGAGCTGGTTATCTGAATCACGCTTCACCATCTGGCAGTCTGATGGACGAATCTGGGTTTGGTGGATGCCAGGAGAACACTACCTGCCCTAATGCATAGTGCCAACTGTAAAGTTTGGTGGAGGAGGAATAATGGTCTGGGGCTGGCTGTTTTTCATGGTTCAGGCTAGGCCCCTTAGTTCCAGTGAAGGGAAATCTTAACGCTACAGCATACAATGACATTTGGTGGAAACATACCACTTGTGGGAAAATGCACATATTTTCTTTATGCAGATTCTATACTATTCGCATGAAAATCTGTTGCCAGTTAGATGGTAATCTAGCTACTGAGGATGAGATTTACACAAAATTGCCTGCACTGAGAATTTTTGGTAAACTTTTTCTCATGCACCAGAACTCCAGATTTATTAAGCCAAGGGTTGTGTGTACTGTTAACACTCAAATCTTATGGTTTCCATGTCCAATTGAGTTCCATTTACATTACATTTATTCCATATGGGTTACTACTGCACATTTTACACTGAGGGGTTTAATGGTAAAGGACACAAGTGTAAGAATGTAAGAAACTGTACAGTTGTTTCTTGTATATAAATACAATAATTATACATTCAATGTGCTTTTCTTGAGGGATAATGGTGGAGCAACTTGATTTGCTACGTTTACAGCAGATCCCAAATCGCTCCCTTGTCTGAAGAGTCTGGATAGCTATAAGCGGTGTAGTGGTAAAACATATACAATATTGCTTCAAACTTAGACTTGCAAACATTGAACAGAACTGGAATATAGTCGCTGTTCATAGGAACTTCAGTGTTAATATAAAAATAAATGTTCCTATGCATTTTGATGAATATATTTGTAAAAATACCAGTCAACTAACAAGGATTGAAGTCCAGACATTAGACAATTATAAGACTTAATTTATTGATCGTTATTACAGCTGTGAAAACAAGCAGACAAGTTAACTATTCACTAAGACGTATACATCTGACATTTCGAAGGGATCACAGCTTGCGCTTTTACCATGTGACAAAGACAAATTCCAAGTCCTGGAAGCAGCTTTTATTTTTCAATGATCTCTTAACTATCCAAGGGGGGAAAACAACATTGCAAGTATTATGTCAGGGATGTGTCAATGCCAGCATATAGTTACAGACGTCACTTGAGGTGATGCCAACAGGATATACATTTTTACTAATGAAACATGTGTAGGTAAAATGGTGGGCATTCTGCTGCTTTAGGCTAATTCTGTAGCCATAAAAAACGTTTGCTAAAATGTTTTGAGCCTTTTTGTCAAGATACATAACTCTAATCAACTGTTACAGCACAAATCACTAGCATATTGTGCAAATGTGAAGCTGACAGAAGACAAAATTGTAGAATGAGAAGAAGCGTTAAAACAATGCCAGAAAATATGCAATTGTAGGAAAAGGAATGCAGAAACCACTGAAGTATTTCCCCAAAAGACAAGCCTAGAAGATTGAAACATCCCCAATAAAAGTACCACCTTTGCCCAGATCAGGCACACCTGTTTTTGTTCTGAAGTATCAGTGATCGGTAGTTTGTTGTAGCTATGCCACATCCAGTCAGTGTGAGGCCTGAGGTTTCACCAGCTCGTAGCGTCCCACCTGCCCTTCCTGCAGGAGCTGGCCAATGAGCTGGTCTTTGTGCACTTTGCGACTGACGATGAGGAAGCGCAGCCTGCCCTGGCCATATGACTTACTCCGCAGGCCATACTTCTGGGATATCTGGTGGATCTGCTTGCGTTCATCATTGTTGAGTTCAGTGGAGAAGCGCAGGTCGTCCTGGCGGTCTGAACTGGCATAGTTACGGATGATGTCTTCGATGTTCCGTTTGGTGAGCTGATTCGCAGACTTGTCCATGTCCATACCCAGTCCTTCTCTGGAGAACTGCTCTTTCACCTTAATGGGTTCAGAGATGCCCTCCCCTTCCCGGCCCAATCCGCCACCCTTCCAGCCCATCTTGCGGAGTAGCTGATTCCCAATGTTATCCTCCTTGATCTCCTGTCTCGAGGCTTCCTCACCAGAGCGCGTCAGAATCTGGTGGCGAGAGAGGGCGTCAGCATTACCCTCCTTCCTGAGGTTGGATTTAACCACAGCCTGTGTCTGCCTGAGTGTGGCCAGGGCTTCCTCTGCTGCAATGTGCTTCACCGTTTTCTTGGGTCCGATGCCTGACGCTACATACTGACCCTCCAGGTATACCTCACACCTCCAGCGGTGATCTGGTAGCACTGTGAACTTATAATCGGCAGCTACCTTGTTGAACTGGGCAGTGTCATTGATGATGCAGATGGCATTGTCCGAGTTCTCTAGGATGACCAGCTCACTCAAGTGTTTCTTCCTACCACCCTGGTGACCGAAACGGCCACACGATGGGTCAGAGGGATTGTTCCCTCGGAAGAACTGCTGTGGTTGCTGTTGCTCCCGGGCTGCCTGGTTCATGCGCAGTTTTCTCACTGCCTCTTCAGCTGCTGTATGTTTAGACGTCTTCTTACTTCCCTTGGCCTGTGCCACCAGCTCGTCCTGCAGGTACACGCTACATTGCCATGCGCTGCTGTTGGGAACCACATCGAATTTGTAGTCAATCTTCATGCGGTTGAAGGCGGCAGAGTTGTTAAGAATGCAGATGGCATCATGAGCGTTGTCAACAATGACAAAATCGGTCCAGTGCTTGCGTTTGTCAGGCTCGTATTGCCCCTTGGAGCTAGGCGTCGGCTTATCCTCTGGATTACGCAGTGCCGGTAGAAAAGCAGGGGTAGGGCAGTTAATCTGGCAGACCACAATATCATTGACCAAGGAGTGTTTGAATTTGCGCTGCACTACACGGACCTCCACCTGTTTAAAGAAAAGCTTAATAGCCTGCTCAGAAGCACGGTCCCTGGCCCCGTTTTTGCTGCCAGAGTATCCAGTAGCAAGGTAAACACACTGGCATCTCAGCTCACAGGCATAGCCATCAGTCGGTACTTTCCTGTTCTTGGGTAGGTCTGCTGGAGGGATATCTTTGAGGTTGACATAGATGTACTCTGGGTTGGTCTTACAGGCCTGGATGCTACGGCTTAGCATGAAATTGTAGTTTGGAGATTCAGCTCCACACATGAACGCAGGGTCTCTTAAAGTGATAGCTATGGCGGATGCCACACTATTGATCAGCCTCTGCTTTTCATCCAGTACGGCTTGAGATATGGGGATGGGTTGTGAAGAAGACCCAGAAACTGAGGAGGGGCTGCTCCTCCCTGGGCTACTGTAGACTCTGCTGAATGGTCTGCTGGATGAGGGTCTGTCCTGATGCCCGAAGCCTTGGCGTCCTGAATCCCCCCAGCCCCCTGACCGACTGCCCCCTCCATATCCATCAAACCTAGGGGCCTGAGAGTATGAGTCCGGCTGCCTAGTGCTGTGGGCCTCGTATCTGTCCGAGTAGTCCTGCTGCACCTTAGTCATATAATTTGAGGTGGATACTCGGCTCCCATAACCTAAACCACTTGTGCTACCTGAGGGTATGTCTCGATCTCTCTCTCTATCACTTTCTCCATCTCTGTCCCTCCAAGAGTCAGAAGAAGAACCGTATGATGAAACTCTGTCGAACGCTGGTCTAGCTGCAGAGGAGCCCTGAGCTCGGTTGCTGCCATAAGAGGGACGGTCAGAGTCCCGCTGTCTCACACTGTTCACCTCACTCCTCCGGCGCTCTTTGTCATTCTCCTTCTCATCATTACCAGACCCGCCACTGCTGCCACCACTAACAAAGTGTACAGGCTCAAACAGCGGTCTGGAACCAAATTTGGACACCGGCATCTTCCTCATTGGTTCTCCTCCTAACATTAAAGAACAAATCAGAGAATCAATCAATGACAAGTGTATAACAATTTTAAAAAGCATTTAGTATACATTATGTTGAGCTAAGTAATTGTTCACCTTCCAGTAGATAAGCAAAATACTTCAACAAACTCAGAAATTAGTTAAACTGTGGCAAGGAGTTTAATCTGAAGAACCAAAATCACTCACTGCCATCTGATGAATTGGGTCTCTTTTTTGCTTCAGCACTTGGAACTAGGTCAAAGGAGGGCATTTCGCCAATGTCAATCCCTTCAGCCATATCCAGCACCTCTCACCTCAGATCAGGGCCATACCTTAAAAGAAAACAGAGCTATATGAGGTAAACAAGCAACATGTGTATTTCCATGCTAGCACAGTAACATACTGACACTTTATTACCGGAAACACTCTATTTGTGAGAGAACTTGTGTTGTTATACTTCCCAAATCAAATTGAGGGCTAAAAACAAATCTGTAGTCAAGTTAGATGCCTATTTCATTATCCAGTTGTCAGGATAGGCTTTGTTGTGGGCAGAGAAGCACATGGGGGGTGATGGAGTGAAGTAGTTCTCTAAGTTGAGGTCAAGTTCAAGTCAGTTCAAGTAATTTTCTCACTCTGAAATCCCACCTGCACCCCATGATGAAGACATGCTTTTCCCAAACCATCGACAATACAATTTCACAATAAATTGTTATATGGCCTACCACTGTTTCTCACTTTCGAAATACTGCCGAAACTCATTGACAGCGGGATTTGCCTGTGTAAATGTAGTCATTACATTAGGACGATTGCAACCAGCATAACTAGTGCTAGCTAACAAACTCAGTTTACAGACTGCAGCCACAGATGATCGATTATATTGACCAGATACTCAAGTGTCCGCTCTAACAACGAAAATAAATGTCTTCTAAAAAATGGAAGGCAGTCGGGAGGAGGCAAGATCAGTTGGGACCATTCTAGCCAATGAGAGGGCAGATACGCGTGTGAACGACAGGCACAACTCCGATATAAAGTATTTTGTTGCCGGGATGTCACCTGTCCTACTTATATCAGTACAGTCGTAACAATCTATGCATTACGAAACTTCTATTCGATCAAATAAGCCTCACGTAGCAAATAAACCATGACATTTTTTGTTGACTAAATTCGACACAGTGAACTCCAAAGAAAAACATATCGCTTGATGAAAAACGCCACCTGCTGGAGAAGACCGATCTTGGGCCCAGTTATGCCTCTTGCTTCGCCTCTTCCTCTGCGCAAAAACGATTTCCAGCTGCCAGCATGGCCACTATAATATGTCGCTAAGAATTATGGGGCTCAGCCATACTGTCTGTGTACTCAGCTAGCGCTACGCTAGATCAGTAAGAATAGGCTGACTGATGTTTCAGTCAAAACCGTCCATTAATGTGGAATAATCCTTATTCTAACATTAGCTACATTTCTGATTAATTATGACTCCATTGCGTGCACAATTTATCCAAAAAAATCTACTAAGTATACCAATTTAGCGTTCACAAAACTAGCTATCCAGCTAGCACAACAGCTAACGTTACCTAGCTAGATACGTTATAATTGAATTCAAATAATTCAAGGCATGATTTGCTAATTTTAATTGTCTACAGATTAAATCGTATAAATATCTGGCAAAAATAAAACCATATGTTATCAGGCGAAACTAGTGACGCAGTAAACGAGCAAAGAAGGCTAACCGTAGCTAGTTAGCTCATTGAAAAAATATTGATGCATTATCTTGCACGAAAATGTGATATAAAGCACGAGACAGATAGTTGTCGAATTGATTTTAGCTCAAATGAATATTTGAGCCACTGACCTCTATGCGAAGTTCCGAGTCCAACGTTTCTTTGTTTGTGCCTTTGGTGTCAGTATTTCAATAATAGTTAGCTGGCTAGCAAGTTCAATGCGTATTGAATGTCCGTAGCTAACTAACGGCTTCGGCAAAGAATTCCGTCATCACCATAACATCCGGGGGTCATCGCTGTCAGGTAGCTAGCTGACTAGACTCGGAATGCTGCATTGGTAGCTATATTGAGACTGGTCGTTATGTGGCATTCAGAAATGTGTTGCGCAATTGCAGAATTTCAGTCAAAGTAAACGTACAGTAGCTCCTCGCATCAAACTCCCATTATAACCCTCAATTTTCTGTCCTCTAAAATCATGGCGTCAGTTTCCGCATGCAACCGCGGGCTGGTAGCAGACAGGCAGAGTAACTAAATATATTGGAGGTGGTCGACTTTATTATCTTATGTAATGTGTATTAAGTATATATACAGTACCAGTCAAAAGTTTGGACACACCTACTCATTCAAGGGTTTTTCTTTATTTTTACTATTTTCTACATTGTAGAATAATAGTGAATACATCAAAACTATGAAATAACACATATGAATCATGTAGTACCCAAAAAAGTGTTAAACAAATCAAATTAGATTTTAGATTCTTCAAAGTAGCCACCCTTTGCCTTGATGACAGCTTTGCACACTCTTGGCATTCTCTCAACCAGCTTCATGAGGAATGCTTTTCCAACAGTCATGAAGACGTTCCCACATATGCTGAGCACTTGTTGGCTACTTTTCCTTCACTCAGCGGTCCAACTCATCCCAAACCATCTCAATTGGGTTGTGATCGGGTGATTATGGAGGCCAGGTCATCTGATGCACCACTCCATCACTCTCCTTGTTGGTCAAATAACCCTTACACAGCCTGGAGGTGTGTTTTGGGTCATTGTCCTGTTGAAAAACAAATGATAGTCCCACTAAGCGCAAACCAGATGGGATGGCGTATCGCTGTAGAATGCTGTGGTAGCCATGCTGGTTAAGTGTACCTTGAATTCTAAATAAATCACAGACAGTGTCACCAGTAAAGCACCATCGCACCTCTTCCTCCATGCTTCACGGTGGGAAACACACATGCGGAGATCATCCGTTCACCTACTCTGCATCTCACAAAGACATGGCGGTTGTAAACAAAAATCTCAAATTTGGACTCATCAGACCAAAGGACAGATTTCCACCAGTCTAATGTCCATTGCTCGTGTTTCTTGGCCCAAGCAAGTCATTTGTTATTATTGGTGTCCTTTAGTAGTGGTTTCTTTGCAGCAATTCGACCATAAAGGCCTGATTTACGCTGTCTCCTCTGAACAGTTGATGTTGAGATGCGTCTGTTACTGGAACTCTGTGAAGCATTTATTTGGGCCGCAATCTGAGGTGCAGTTAACTCCAATTAACTTATCCTTTGCACCTACTCATTCCAGGGTTTTTCTTTATTTTTACTATTTTCTACATTGTAGAATAATAGTGAAGACATCAAAACGATGAAATAACAAATATGGAAACATGTAGTAGCCAAAAAAGTGTTAAACAAATCAGATGACCTGGCCTCCACAATCACCTGACCTCAACCCAATTGAGATGGTTTGGGATGAGTTGGACCGCAGAGTGAAGGAAAAGCAGCCAACAAGTGCTCAGCATATGTGGGAACTCCTTCAAGACTGTTGGAAAAGCATTCCAGGTGAAGCTGGTTGAGAGAATGCCGAGAGTGTGCAAAGCTGTCATCAAGGCAAAGGGTGGCTACTTTGAAGAATCTAAAATCTAAAATATATTTTGATTTGTTTAACACTTTTTTGGTTACTACATGATTCCATATGTGTCATTACATAGTTTTTGATGTCTTCACTATTATTCTACAATGTAGAATATAGTAAAATTAAAGAAAAACCCTTGAATGAGTAGGTGTGTTCAAACTTTTGACTGGTACTATATATATATATATATATATATATATATATATATATATATATATATATGGTAGTATATATACACATACAATGAGGGAAAAAAGTATTTGATCCCCTGCTGATTTTGTATGTTTGCCCACTGACAAAGACATGATCAGTCTATAATTTTAATGGTAGGTTTATTTGAACAGTGAGAGACAGAATAACAACAAAAAAATCCAGAAAAACGCATGTCAAAAATGTTATCAATTGATTTGCATCTTAATGAGGGAAAGATTTCTGGCTCCCATGTGTCTTTTATACAGGTAACGAGCTGAGATTAGGAGCACACTCTTAAAGGGAGTGCTCCTAATCTCAGTTTGTCACCTGTATAAAAGACACCTGTCCACAGAAGCAATCAATCAATCAGATTCCAAACTCTCCACCATGGCCAAGACCAAAGAGCTCTCCAAGGATGTCAGGGACAAGATTGTAGACCTACACAAGGCTGGAATGGGCTACAAGACCATCGCCAAGCAGCTTGGTGAGAAGGTGACAACAGTTGGTGCGATTATTCGCAAATGGAAGAAACACAAAATAACTGTCAATCTCCCTCTGCCTGGGGCTCAATGCAAGAATTCACCTCGTGGAGTTGCAATGATCATGAGAACGGTGAGGAAGCAGCCCAGAACTACACGGATGGATCTTGTCAATGATCTCAAGGCAGCTGGGACCATAGTCACCAAGAAAACAATTGGTAACACACTACGCTGTGAAGGATTGAAATCCTGCAGCGCCCGCAAGGTCCCCCTGCTCAAGAAAGCACATACAGTGAGGGAAAAAAGTATTTGATCCCCTGCTGATTTTGTACGTTTGTCCACTGACAAACGTACAAATGATCAATCTTTAATTTTAATGGTAGGTTTATTTGAACAGTGAGAGACAGAATAACAACAACAAAATCCAGAAAAACGCATGTCAAAAATGTTATAAATTGATTTGCATTTTAATGAGGGAAATAAGTATTTGACCCCCTCTCAATCAGAAAGATTTCTGGCTCCCAGGTGTCTTTTATACAGGTAACGAGCTGAGATTAGGAGCACACTCTTAAAGGGAGTGCTCCTAATCTCAGCTTGTTACCTGTATAAAAGACACCTGTCCACAGAAGCAGTCAATCAATCAGATTCCAAACTCTCCGCCATGGCCAAGACCAAAGAGCTCTCCAAGGATGTCAGGGACAAGATTGAAGACCTACACAAGGCTGGAATGGGCTACAAGACCATCGCCAAGCAGTTTGGTGAGAAGGTGACAACAGTTGGTGCGATTATTCGCAAATGGAAGAAACACAAAAGACCTGTCAATCTCCCTCGGCCTGGGGCTCCATGGAAGATCTCACCTCGTGGAGTTGCAATGATCATGAGAACGGTGAGGAATCAGCCCAGAACTACACGGGAGGATCTTGTCAATGATCTCAAGGCAGCTGGGACCATAGTCACCAAGAAAACAATAGGTAACACACTAGGCCGTGAAGGACTGAAATCCTGCAGCGCCCGCAAGGTCCCCCTGCTCAAGAAAGCACATATACAGGGCCGTCTGAAGTTTGCCAATGAACATCTGAATGATTCAGAGGAGAAATGGGTGAAAGTGTTGTCGTCAGATGAGACCAAAATGGAGCTCTTTGGCATCAACTCAACTCGCCGTGTTTGGAGGATGAGGAATGCTGCCTATGACCCCAAGAACACCATCCCCACTGTCAAACATGGAGGTGTAAACATTATGCTTTGGGGGTGTTTTTCTGCTAAGGGGACAGGACAACTTCACTGCATCAAAGGGACGATGGACGGGGCCATGTACCGTCAAATCTTGGGTGAGAACCTCCTTCCCTCAGCCAGGGCATTGACAATGGGTCATGGATGGGTATTCCAGCATGACAATGACCCAAAACACACGGCCAAGGCAACAAAGGAGTGGCTCAAGAAGAAGCACATTAAGGTCCTGGAGTGGCCTAGCCAGTCTCCAGACCTTAATCCCATAGAAAATCTGTGGAGGGAGCTGAAGGTTCGAGTTGCCAAACGTCAGCCTTGAAACCTTAATGACTTGGAGAAGATCTGCAAAGAGGAGTGGAACAAATCCCTCCTGAGATGTGTGCAAACCTGGTGGCCAACTACAAGAAACGTCTGACCTCTGTGATTGCCAACAAGGGTTTTGCCACCAAGTACTAAGTCATGTTTTGCAGAGGGGTCAAATACTTATTTCCCTCATTAAAATGTAAATCAATTTATAAAAACTTTGACATGCGTTTTTCTGGATTTTTTTGTTGTTATTCTGTCTCTCACTGTTCAAATAAACCTACCATTAAAATTATAGACTGATCATGTCTTTGTCAGTGGGCAAACGTACAAAATCAGCAGGTCATCAAATACTTTTTTCCCTCACTGTATGTGTATATATACTACCATTCAAAAGTTTGGGGTCACAATTTTTTTGTCGATTAAAATAACATCAAATTGATCAGAAATACAGTGTAGACATTGTTAATGTTGTAAATGGCTATTGTAGCTGGAAACGGCTGATTTTTTATGGAATATCTACATAGGCGTACAGAGGCCCATTATCAGCAACCATCAGTCCTGTGTTCCAATGACACGTTGTGTTTGCTAATCCATGTTTATAATTTTAAAAGGCTAATTGATCATTAGAAAACCCTTTTGCAATTATGTTAGCACAGCTGAAAACTGTTGTGCTGATTAAAGAAGCAATAAAACTGGCCTTTTTGAGACTAGTTGAGTATCTGGAGCATCAGCAATTGTGGGTTCGATTACAGGCTCAAAATGGCCAGAAACAAATTACAGTGGCTTGTGAAAGTATTCACCCCCCTTGGCATTTTTCCTATTTTGTTGCCTGGAATTAAAATTGATTTTTTCGGGGGTTTGTATTATTTGATTTACACAACATGCCTACCACTTTGAAGATGCAAAATATTTTTTGGGGTGAAACAAACAAGAAATAAGACCAAAAAAAAGAGTCATACCACAGATTCTCAATTGGATTGAGGTCTGGGCTTTGACTAGGCCGTTCCAAGACATTTAAATGTTTCCTCTTAAACCACTCAAGTGTTGCTTTAGCAGTATGCTTAGGGTCATTGTCCTGCTGGAAGGTGAACCTCTGTCCCAGTCTCAAAACTCTGGAAGACTGAAACAGGTTTCCCTCAAGAATTCCCCTGTATTTAGCGCCATCCATGATTCCTTAAATTCTGACCAGTTTCCCAGTCCCTGCCGATGAAAAACATCCCTACAGCATGATGCTGCCACCACCATGCTTCACTGTGGAGATGGTGTTCTCGGGGTGATGAGAGGTGTTGTGTTTGCGCCAGACATAGCGTTTTCCTTGATGGCCAAAAAGCTCAATTTTAGTCTCTTTAGTACCTTCTTCCATATGTTTGGGGAGTCTCCTACATGCCTTTTGGTGAACACCAAACGTGTTAGCTTATTTTTTCTTTAAGCAATGGCTTTTTTCTGGCCACTCTTCCGTAAAGCCCAGCTCTGTGGAGTGTACGGCTTAAAGTGGTCCTATGGACAGATACAGTGGGGGAAAAAAGTATTTAGTCAGCCACCAATTGTGCAAGTTCTCCCACTTAAAAAGATGAGAGAGTCCTGTAATTTTCATCATAGGTACACGTCAACTATGACAGACAACTTGAGAATTTTTTTCTCCAGAAAATCACATTGTAGGATTTTTAATGAATTTATTTGCAAATTATGGTGGAAAATAAGTATTTGGTCACCTACAAACAAGCAAGATTTCTGGCTCTCACAGACCTGTAACTTCTTCTTTAAGAGGCTCCTCTGTCCACCACTCGTTACCTGTATTAATGGCACCTGTTTGAACTTGTTATCAGTATAAAAGACACCTGTCCACAACCTCAAACAGTCACACTCCAAACTCCACTATGGCCAAGACCAAAGAGCTGTCAAAGGACACCAGAAACAAAATTGTAGACCTGCACCAGGCTGGGAAGACTGAATCTGCAATAGGTAAGCAGCTTGGTTTGAAGAAATCAACTGTGGGAGCAATTATTAGGAAATGGAAGACATACAAGACCACTGATAATCTCCCTCGATCTGGGGCTCCACGCAAGATCTCACCCCGTGGGGTCAAAATGATCACAAGAACGGTGAGCAAAAATCCCAGAACCACACGGGGGGACCTAGTGAATGACCTGCAGAGAGCTGGGACCAAAGTAACAAAGCCTACCATCAGTAACACACTACGCCGCCAGGGACTCAAATCCTGCAGTGCCAGACGTGTCCCCCTGCTTAAGCCAGTACATGTCCAGGCCCGTCTGAAGTTTGCTAGAGTGCATTTGGATGATCCAGAAGAGGATTGGGAGAATGTCATATGGTCAGATCTCGTCGTGTTTGGAGGACAAAGAATGCTGAGTTGCATCCAAAGAACACCATACCTACTGTGAAGCATGGGGGTGGAAACATCATGCTTTGGGGCAGTTTTTCTGCAAAGGGACCAGGACGACTGATCCGTGTAAAGGAAAGAATGAATGGGGCCATGTATCGTGAGATTTTAAGTGAAAACCTCCTTCCATCAGCAAGGGCATGAAGATGAAACGTGGCTGGGTCTTTCAACATGACAATGATCCCAAACACACCGCCCGGGCAACGAAGGAGTGGCTTCGTAAGAAGCATTTCAAGGTCCTGGAGTGGCCTAGCCAGTCTCCAGATCTCAACCCCATAGAAAATCTTTGGAGGGAGTTGAAAGTCCGTGTTGCCCAGCGACAGCCCCAAAACATCACTGCTTTAGAGGAGATCTGCATGGAGGAATGGGCCAAAATACCAGCAACAGTGTGTGAAAACCTTGTGAAGACTTACAGAAAACGTTTGACCTGTGTCATTGCCAACAAAGGGTATATAACAAAGTATTGAGAAACTTTTGTTATTGACCAAATACTTATTTTCCACCATAATTTGCAAATAAATTCATTAAAAATCCTACAATGTGATTTTCTGGATTTTTTTTCTCATTTTGTCTGTCATAGTTGACGTGTACCTATGATGAAAATTACAGGCCTCTCTCATCTTTTTAAGTGGGAGAACTTGCACAATTGGTGGCTGACTAAATACTTTTTTTCCCCACTGTATGTGTTTGGGTAAAAATAACATTTTTGTTTTATTCTATAAACTACTGACAACATTTCTCCCAAATTCCAAATAAAAATATTGTCATTTAGAGCATTTATTTGCAGAAAATGACAATTGGTCAAAATAACAAAAAAGATGCACGTTGTCAGACCTCAAATAATGCAAAGAAAATAAGTTAATGTTCATTTTTAAACAACACAATACTAATGTTTTAATTTAGGAAGAGTTCAGAAATCAATATTTGGTGGAATAACCCTGATTTTCAATCACAGCTTTCATGCGTCTTGGCATGCTCTCCACCAGTCTTTCACATTGATGTTGGGTGACTTTATGCCACTCCTGGCGCAAAAATTCAAGCAGCTCGGCTTTGTTTGATGGCTTGTGACCATCCATCTTCCTCTTGATCACATTCCAGAAGTTTTCAATGGGGTTCAGGTCTGGAGATTAGGCTGGCCATGACAGGGTCTTGATCTGGTGGTCCTCCATCCACACCTTGATTGTCCTGCTGGAAAAACCAATCCTCAGAGTTGGGGAACAATGTCAGAGCAAAAGGAAGCAACTTTTCTTCCAGGACAACCTTGTACGTGGCTTGATTCATGCGTCCTTCACAAAGACAAATCTGCCCGATTCCAGCCTTGCTGAAGCACCCCCAGATCATCACCGATCCTCCACCAAATTTCACAGTGGGTGCGAGACGCTGTGGCTTGTAGGCCTCTCCAGGTCTCCGTCTAACCATTAGACGACCAGGTGTTGGGCAAAGGTGAAAATTAGACTCATCAGAGAAGATTACCTTATTCCAGTCCTCTACGGTCCAATCCTTATGGTCTTTTGCAAACCTCAGCCTGGCTCTTCTTTGCTTCTCATTGATGAAGGGCTTTTTTCTAGCTTTGCACGTTTTCAGCCCTGCCCCTAGGAGCCTGTTTCGAACCGTCCTCGCCGTGCACTTCACCTTGATGTCATCTTACAGTTGTTGAGTGACATTCGAATGAGTTGGCGGTCATCCCGCTCACTGTATCCCTCTGCCAGTAAAGCCAGAATTGAACCCTTCTTTTCCTCACTCAAAACTTTCCTTTTCAACTCTTTTGGCATGGTCAATAGTTATTTTTTTGATTAACATTACTTTTGAGGTACTATTAGCACTGTTTTTACCATCCAGCTGGTCCTATTGCAAGAGGATAGTGATGACCACAGCAGTGGTTTTTATACTTTTCCTCATTAAATAAGATTTTGTTCAGGTGATCACCTAATCAGTACCTAATTCAGTAGAATGAGGTGTGCCTGTGTTGGAATTCAACAGACACTGGAATGGAATGGCTGTCATACATTTAGAAATGCTGATTAAAGAAACATTTGCAGTGGTCTCTTAATGTTTTCCACAGCTGTATGTGTATATATATATTTAGTCAATCTTTTTTATATATATATATGATACACTTTACAAAAATATAAACGCAACATGTAGTGTTGGTCCCATGTTTCATGAGCTGAAATAAAAGATCCCATAAATGTTTCATACACACAAAAAGCTTATTTCTCTCAAAAATGTGTTTACATCCCTGTTAGTGAGCATTTCTCCTTTGCCAAGATAATCCATCCACCTGACAGGTGTGGCATATCAAGAAGCTGATTAAACAGCGTGATCATTACACAGTTGCACCTTGTGCTGGGGACAATGAAAGGCCACTCTAAAATGTGCAGTTTTGTCACACAACACAATGCCACAGATGTCTCAAGTTTTGAGGGAGTATGCAATTGGCATGCTGACAGTAGGAATATCCACCAGAGCTGTTGCCAGATAATTTAATGTTAATAAGCCGCTGCCGTTGTTTTAGAGAATTTGACAGTATGTCCAACCGGCCTCACAACCGCAGACCACGTGTATGGCGTCGCGTGGGTGGGCGGTTTGTTGATGTCAACGTCGTGAACAGATCGAGTGCCCCATGGTGGCGGTGGGGTTATGGTATGGGCAGGCATAAGCTACGGTCAACGAACACAACTGCATTTTATTGATGTCAATTTGAATGCACAGCGATACCATGACAAGATCCTGAGGCCCATTGTCGTGCCATTCATATAATAAGATGATAGTTGAAGCTGTAATTTTAGATTTCAGTGCAACCTTTGATGTTATTGATCATAATTTCTTGTTGTAGCATGTTTCAGCATGATAATGCACGGCCCCATGTCGCAAGGGTCTGTACACAATTCCTGGAAGCTGAAAATGTCCCAGTTCTTCCATGGCCTGCATACTCACCAGACATGTCACCCATTGAGCATGTTTGGGATGCTCTGGATCGACGTGTACAACAGCGTGTTCCAGTTCCTGCCAATAACCAGCAACTTCGCACAGCCATTGAAGAGGAGTGGGACAACATTTCACAGGCCACAATCAACAGCCTGATCAACTCTATGCAAAAGAGATGTCGCGCTGCATGAGGCAAATGGTGGTCACACCAGATACTGACTAGTTCTGATCCACACCCCTACCTTTCTTTTAAGGTATCTGTGACCAACAGATGCATATCTGTATTCCCAGTCATGTGAATTCCATAGATTAAGGCCTGATGTATTTATTTCAATTGACTGATTTCCTTATATGAACTGTAACTCAGTAAAATCTTTGAAATTGTTTAATGTTGCATTTATATATTTGTTCAGTATATATTTTAAATAGCTAGCTAATACTTTTAGAATAACTATAGGTTTTACCCCATCCCCCTGTTAACCAGAAGGTGGCAGTCTTCCTCTTCACTTTTGAAGTGTACAAAAAATGTGGGTTCATTTTAATAAGTGAATATACTGTATAACCTGTCCTCAATGTTTATTATTTGCACAACTAAGTCATTTGGCATAAAAAACAAATACACACTTTATCTTCATAATTTTATTGAAAATGTACATCAATGGAATCAAACTACAATCACGTATTTTATCATTAATTTGTGGTGTGGACAAGTAATTGACTAGGGAGGGGTGATTATGTCAGACGATAGAAAAATGTATGGCAACTTCTTACGCCAAAATGTAACTTTACACAGAGAGAAGAGTCACGTCCAAAGATCATATTTCATAAACAGGTCTCCACTTCAATACACAAAATATATCCTTATAAATTATACAAATGCATGAGTATCTATCTGTATCTAGCATTCAACTCCATCTCATTGTAATATTTGGCAATATGGGTGCCACAAATTGTGGAGAGGGGTGTAAACTGCACATTACAAGTAGTAATACACAAGATAAAACTGGTCCAAACAATCTAATGTGAAAGAGTGCAAAACGGAACTGTTAGGGGAGAAAACAACTATGTGGAGCAAAAGGTCAAAATCACAGAGGTGATGAAATTTTAAAAAAAAGAGCATAAGACATGCAAAATACAGAATAGGTTGATGGTAGTTAAAGCACAATGCATAAAGGGCATTAAATGTGACCTACATGGTATTTCAGTACAGAAAAGGTGTTTTCACTAAATAAGTGCTTGACATGAATATGTCTTTGGCTCTTCTAAGTTGCAATGAAACAATCTATGCTGTGAACAAAGAATACTGTATTTCAATATACATTAATCCAGAGTCTTGGCTCTGTCACAAATGGTATGATGAAACTATTGATTAGATGTTTTTCTCTTGAACAACCGTTTAGAATCCTACCTGAGCACAGCTTTGTTCATTCATACACCAAGACAGATCTGCAAAATATTAAAGAGTGAAGGACTCCCACTTGCCAAAGTGTACCTTGATTAGGTGACAAAACGTAAACTATCCAAAAAATACCATGTGAAGCCCACATATGGCCATGTTCAACAAAGCAGATGAGATGGAAGTTAAAAAAGGTTGATGCAGTGAGAAAAGACAGGAAGAGGAAATGGGTGCTTAGTTCTTGTTGAAGCTGCAATCCCCTCTTCAGACATGTGGCCAAGACAGATTAAAAGAAGCTAGAGAGAAAGGAGACAAATGCAAGGTTACAAGAGATGCCCAAGCAGTCAGGGAAAGCAACAGTGCCTACCAGAAGGCAAGGTTCAAGATAAATAAGAAACAAGGGTTACTGACACTAACTCTGTTACAAATGCAATGTCCGTGTTGTAAGCTAAAAATAGCTACTAATATAATAACATACTACAGTACTTGAGTTGACCAATTCAATTTGAGCATAATACTGATTTAAAACATTGAATAAATTGTTTATTAAGTCTCATTGAGAACTGCTCGCAGCAGATATTATGTTCTCTGTAAATACAAAAAAGGTAGTCAGTGTCAGTTAATAAATCAAACAGACGATCTTAAACCTAATAATGATGGAAAAACTACCAAGTGAAGTACACAACAAAAACATGGACCCTAAATATCTATCCCTATAGAAGCAAAACGCAAATGGTGATATTAGTCAAAGTCAGCACCGCAAAAACACGACATGACAAAAAAAGCATAGCCATAGGTAAAAGACAGATTTAGCCACACAGCGAGCACATTGAGAAGCAATGAAATACAGATAGGGGTATTCTTTTGTTAATACATAAAGCAAATGAATGTTTGTTTTTTAACCCAGAAGGGTGGGGTCACAATGCCTCTCCTCAGCCTTGGGGTACCTGCTACCCACAAAGCCTGGTCCCTTAGCAAAGCTTGAGGGTGGAAGCACCTACTCAGTGCAGAGCCAGGGATTACTGCAAAGGAAAGGTAAATACACACAGAGCAGTGAGCAGGGGAACTAAAGCACAGTTTGTATGAATGACACAACACACCAAGGCACACCCTGCCAACCCATTGAGCTTAGGACAACAGTTCCCCAGAGACATTGAGACAAAGAGCAACTTGAGAAGGGATTGTGAGAAGTTGTAAACCATACCTACTACACCCCTGCATAATAATGTGTAAGTACGCAAGCGACTCATTTCAATACATTTAGACGAAAACAAAATGCCTATATCTGTGGACATTTGACTCATCAGACCAACTGTCCGACCTTTGTCACCGTACAAAGGCATGTCGATTATATTGAGCAAGGACATAGACATGTTTTTGGAGGGTGGTGTGGTGGTTGTACTAAATATTTTTCTGATAAAACATCCTGTCCTCAAGACACAGATGTGAAGGAAGTCGAGTTGAAAATAGAAACCACAATCTCATTGGCGCTCAAACTCATCTGCCAAACAAAGGAGTGTTCCAATCTTGTTTCTCTAGGAGGAATTGAGAATGACTGCTTGTCTGTTTGGACAAAAGCAGTGCAGCACTATAAGGCTGAATACTAACTTGACATTTGTGCACCTAACTTAAATGCAAGTGTCCTATTGACTTCAATGCATAATTAATGCGAAAGTCCAAGTCAGGATCCAGCCCTATGAATTCAGGTTCGCAGACAATTTCGCTCTGTACAGCTCTGTAAGGAGAGTTGTTTTGACAATAACAATGGCGTGATATCTCAAAGCCCTTGAATGAGTTAAATATCTAGACCAAATACAGTGTTTTCAACTGTTATTAGAATCTATGTGAAACCCTAATATCATCACGTTCAGAACCCACTCACATCCTGTATGTTTAAAATACTGCTTCATTATACATTTCATACACAATAATCGTGGCCACAGCTGAAATATTTGGTTAAATTCACCCTTTATTTCCTTTGGATATTAAGTATTTTTGTGTAACACTGATACAAGTGGAATACTGATCCCTACATGAATGTTATTTGTTTAAATGGCTTAAAATGTGCTTTTAAATGTATTTATTTTATTTTTATCAAAAGGTCACAATTGCACTAGAAATATACAAAATCACATTTGTGTAAAATGTGTAAATGTGAAAAGCTAATAAGTATGCAGATAGCATAACATTTATTAAAAACAATGAGGTATGGCAAAGAGATGACAAGAAAGCATTCATATCTGCACATGCACCAGGCTAAGATGAAATAACATCAGCAGTTGACTATTAACACTCACAGTCTTCATAGCTTCAGCGCCAGTTTGTTTGCGCTATCATGCCAACTCCCTGTCACTCATAGTCATGCCATGTTTGGAGTAGGCAAAAGCACAAACAGATCTGGGACCAGGCTACTCTCGATGGGCGGTGGACAACATGCCCTCATTTAAAACATACTACGATTGTGTCTTTATTTTCAATAAATTATGCATTGTATACCAATACGATATCAGTGCACATCTTCATAATCTCAAGTGGTTTAGGATACCGTTGGAGTGAGTAGAATAGTGGTAGTATGAAACATGAATGTCAATATGCTACCCCTGCTAAGTCTATGTAATGAGCACGGATTACACGCCACACACCACTCGCTTGGTCAGACCATAGCTGATGTGCGTTTCACCTTAGCCTCCACAAACTCCTGCCCGTCAACAGTAGTTGCGCATGTTAAAGTTAAAAGCACACTCAATCATGCGGAACAGGTCAACAAAAAGAGAATGTCTACTTTCCAACATAAAAAAATAAACAGGCAAACGCAGAATGATGGCTTGTAAAAACGTACAAAATAAGCATGCGTTCGAGTCAAGGATTCCTATTCACAGTAATGGCTGGATTCTTCCTCAGAGCAGGGACATGTGTGGGGTTTGGGAATGGGGGAAAGGGGGAAAGAGGGAGGACAGGAGGGCACAGAGAACAGCATGGCACTGCCAAGGATGGGGTGAAAACTCATTCACAGCTGGCTGAGGGAGGGAGCACTTTTCTACAGGAATCCTGAACTGGAAATAGAGAAAAGGACCATTACGCGTTAACAACACTAGTAGACATACTTGTTAATCAAATGACAGAATCATTCACGTTATTGGTCAAATGTAATGTCGAAAGGAACATGTGTTAAGGTTGTTACTGTTAATAAGACAGAGGTGGGGAGATTTAGAGTATCTGTTGAAACAAAATGTATTTGGTAGGCTAATAGCCTAACACACCAAATCAGTGGCCTTGTGGTTAGAGCGTCCACCCTGAGATTAGAAGGTTTGGAGTTCCTGTCCGAGTCATACCAAGGACTGTAAAAATGGGACCCGATGAGTCTCTGCTTGGCACTCAGCATTAAGGAGATATATTGGAGGTAAGGTCCTGCGATAAACTAGCGTCCTGTCCAGGGGGTGTCCTTGTACATCAAGCTGCCTCATTCTACAGTAACAGGAGATAGGCTCCTGCTCCTATTAGCCATTCGGGCCTTGTGTAAGGCTACTTACCTAATGGACTAACACGTCAATGTTAACCACGGTAAATCGTCTAGTGGAAATAAATGAATAAAAACGTTGCTAGCTAGCAACATTTTTGTTTCCGAGATTAACTAGGGAGGGATACATGATTATTACAAACTTGATAATTTATCCTGAATTGACTATTATAATAATTCACCGATCCATTCTCAAGTTGCTTCTACAGGGCCTTAGAAAAATGCAGTCTGTCTCTATGGTTGATTTGTCTGTTCATTTCACACTGCTCATTTCCTGTGACCGTAGTCCAGAATGACACAGCAACGCTGAGACAGCAGGCTGTTTTTCATCACATTTAACTAAAAGGTCTTGAAGATGAGCCAGCCCAGGAGCAGCAGTTTACAGATAGCAAGACAGATGTCTTCCTATCCCACCCGCTCTCCCCTATGGCTGAATCTGTACAAATAGCGTAGCTCTCATTGTTGTTCTTTTTTCTCAACAAACAGCTAGGTGTCAAATAGCTGAAGGATCAACAAAAAAATTATATAAACAATCCCCATACACAAGAATTGGCTCTAAGGCTGAACGGCGGACTAGCGCGATCCTGCAGTGTCTGCTGAGCTCTCTCTGAATGCTCTTTGTGTAGTGGCTAGGCAGGGCCGGGAAGGGCAGGGGTGGACCACAAAAGCAGATTGTTGTGGTTTCAGAGGGCAGATGGGGCAGCACATCAGACAGGGGCTGATAAACGTGGTGATTTAATTTGAGACTCTTTTAGAGGCTGGCACGGGCACAGCCAACCACAGGACATGATCCACTGCTGCGGCAGTGATGTCATCTTCAGATAAGCCATGGGTGGATACAGACATTAATAAAATGTACCAACACTATAAATGTTACATATGATTTGTTACAAAGATTTGATGCATTGAATTAGTATCAGACCTGCGTTCAAATACTGTTTTAAATATCTCAATAACTTTCACATACATTCAAAGTAAGTATTCAGATATATTTTATTTGAAAAGACAAGTTGAATATTTTAATGTACACTAAATGACCAAAAGTATGTCAGGGCTCTGTGCAGTATGTTGAGGTCAGGGCTCTGTGCAGGCCAGTCAAGTTCTTCCACACCAATCTCGACAAACCATTTCTGTATGGACCTCGTTTTGTGCACGGGGGCATTGTCATGCAGAAACAGGAAAGGGCCTTCCCCAAACTGTTGCCACAAAGTTGGAAGCACAGTATGTCATTGTATGCTGTAGCGTTAAGATTTCCCTTCACTGGAACTAAGGGGCCTAGCCGAACCATGAAAAACAGCCCCAGACCATTATTCCTCCTCCACCAAACTTGCAACACTCACTACTGAGTTCCAAACTGCCTCTGGAAACAACGTCAGTACAATAACTGTTCGTTGGGAGCTTCATGAAATGGGTTTCCATGGCCGAGCAGACTCAAGTCTAAGATCACCATGCGCAATGCCAAGTGTTGGCTGGAGTGGTGTAAAGCCTACAGCCATTGGACTCTGGAGCAGTGGAAACGCGTTCTCTGAAGTGATGAATCACGCTTCACCATCTGGCAATCCGGCGGACGAATCTGGGTTTGGCGGATGCCAGGAGAACACTACCTGCCCCAATGCATAGTGCCAACTGTAAAGTTTGGTGGAGGAGGAACAATGGTCTGGGGTCTGTTTTTCATGGTTCTGGCTAGGTCCCTTAGTTCCAGTGAAGGGAAATCTTAATGCTACAGCATACAATAACATTCTAGACAATCCTGTGCTTCCAGATTTGTGCCAACAGTTTGGGGAAGGCCCTTTCCTGTTTCAGCATGACAATGCCCCCGTGCACAAAGCGACGTCCATACAGAAATGGTTTGTCGAGATTGGTGTGGAATAACTTGACTGGCCTGTACAGAGCCCTGACCTCAACCCCATCGAACACCTTTGGGATGAATTGGAACGCTGAATGCGAGCCAGGCCTAATCGCCCAACATCAGTGCCCGATCTCACCAATGCTTGTGGCTGAATGGAAGCAAGTCCCCGCAGTAATGTTCCAACATCTAGTGGAAAGCCTTCCCAGAAGAGTGGAGGCTGTTATAGCAGCAAAGGGGGGGGACCAACTCCATATTAATGCCCATGATTTTGGAATGAGATGTTCGACGAGCAGGTGTCCACATACCTTGGGTCATGTAGTGTATTTGAAAATAGTATTTGAAAATGCTCTCAAAAACTATTTGGTAGACTATTTGTTTTTTACAAATAACAATTAAAATACTTAAATAAAAGTACTTGGGCTATGTATTTGAAAATACTCCAATACACAGAAAAAAGTATTTGAAATACCAGATACTCAAATACACATATATTTGAACCCAGGTCTGATTAGTATAAAATGTGAACTAATATGTATTGAAAGTAGGCCTACTGTACAGATGTTGCCTGTATTTCTAACAGCTGCTAGAAGTTAAGACTTATTTAAATCAATTTGAAAAAGTAATTACATTTGAGGACTTCCTTGTCCTTCTCATTTAAGTTCAAATATGTGTTTAACTGACATCTGATTTACATGTCAAAAAATAAATATATATATATCTCGATCGATGTGCTTTTTGTCATTGGTTACCAGGGGAACAGTTGAGTGAGCATGCCTTACCAGGACAAGATGTCTCATGCAGCATGCAGCAAGTGGGGGAGGAGTTAACTGTAAAACAGCATGGATGCAACATAGGTGACACATGCACTCATGGGAGACATATGGTGCATTCAAGACAACTCAAAAACTTGGAACCTCTATTGGTTGATTCAGATATTTTCCAAGTGGGAAACTCGGTCCTTATCTTTCTACAACGAGTTTCCAAGGACATTTGAGTTTCCGAGTTCCGAGTTGTCTTGAATGCGTCAGCACATACACATTCTCCATGTCACATCTACACCACTCATTAAAACATGCCATGCTCATGTCCTTTGGTGACTGAATAAAACATTGTTTTGTAGCCCAAGCTATCTACAGGCTTATGTTTTGAACAAGATAAGGAAATAGAGAGGCCAAGTTTGGGATTCAAAGGTTAAGCAAATGATGAAGTACTAACTAGCATTCATAGGGCCGGTTTCTCAGACAAGACTAAGCTAGGCTTTTAGTCTAGGTCAATGCTTAATCTGTGTCCGGGAAACTGGCCAATAATGTTTTGATCAGTCACCCAGAAACATTAAGTGAAAGGGATGGAGAGTGAAGAGAACCCTGTGAGGAGGAAAAACTACAGAGTTCAGAGATAGCGGAGAGAAATGACAGAAGAACTGTAAAGACAATAATTTAGAATAAAAAAAAGAACCTTTCTCAGTGCAAGTGTCTTCGTCCTTTCTAACAGGGCAGGTGGCAGGGCTCACATCAGTTTGAATACACAACCAGGAGTGATTACCAACATGAAGGGACCCACGTCAACAACCTATCTAACTGTCAACACGGCCCTACTACAGTAGCCCGATACTAAAGGTAAAACAAACTGTCACAATGACTTAACCAACATTCCTATGGGATATAGGCCTATACCAGCAGTGTCACTAGCCTGGGGTCAATACAATCAGATTACTGTAATACTACATCTAATCTAGATTAATCTGGTTTACGTTGAGGACTAGAGTAGGGTTGAGGATATTACTAACTATAGTCCTCTGTGTGATAAAGATATATAGAAAACAATCTAAAATCATATTAAAAGTGACAGTGATCCTAATTTCTGGTGCATATTCGTGTTCATTTTGGGGGAGAAAAATAGCAAGTCCACCTCTATACCATAGTTCTAAAGGCTTGAGAGCAAACGCTTGCTAGACTGCTAAACTAAGCCTTAGGGAGCATCTCTACATCTATTGCTCCTCCATTTCAATGTAACCAGAGTCAGCTCGTTGGTTATCGCTAATCCATTAGACTGGGGAGAGAAACCACTCAATGCTCGGTGACATTAATGGGACAAGCCAAAGCGGTGGTCAGGCAAAGAGTTCCTAGAAATGCATCGACATAAGGCAAATGAAAGCTTTGATTAATGAGTTTGTCATTTGTTTCCGTGTGGTGTGTGCCAGGCATCTTCATATCTGAGGTGCAGCTTTTGCAACAACAGTGTACAGCATCGTGCACCAGTAAAGTGCTCCACATACATACATCATTTATATTTTCATTAGTAAATCCTCTGTATCACCAAATATACATAGGGAGGGACAGTAATACATTTACTCACTATGTTGAGTAAATATCATTTAGAGATGGCATTCTAAGTGGAATTCTAAGTGGAATTAATGACCTAGTGTTTCCTATATTATTGTTTAGGTGGGCACCCCTCATTTTGGTTAATGAGGCCCTAAATGTTGATTTGGGGGCATTTGCGCCCTGCCTAGAAAACACTATAGTGACAATTTATCCAGTTGTTCTTTGTTCCTCCTAGATCAGGTTGTAACATCCAGAATGCTCCGGTCCAGTATCCCTAAGGAATCCTCAAGGATAGCTGGGTGGTGTTCACGCAACAGAAAACGTGTTAAAACGTTTCGCAATGGAACATGAAAATGAGCGTTTCTCATTTGACAAGTCCAGGTAGTCTCTCCCTGTTTCGGTCCGTTCTCTTCCGTTTGGGTGCCTAATGAACATGACCCTGAACACTGCCTGCTGTGTGAGGAGGAGGGAGGTGAATGTGGAAGGAGATACTTACTTTTTCCTCTCCTTGTCCCTCTTGAGTGTGGTGGAGCCCCCTGCCTGCTGGGCCTGGGACTGCAGGAGCTCGGCGGCCGTCTTTTTCTGCTTGAAGCCGTTGAGCTCGTCATCCAGCGATTTCTTCTTGTCCTCCAGCTTCTTCTTCTCATCCTGGTGCAGCTTCTTGAGCCGGTCAAACTTCTCGTGCAGCTGTGTGGCGTGGGAGATAACTCACGTCTTAGATAGAAACTCATTTAAAAGGTGTGGCATCTGATGTAAATGTATCTGTAGCTTTGAGTACAAATAGAGATGTCGCACATGTAACCCTAGTTCTTGTTAGGTTGGTAGGATTGGTGATGATGTGGCAGAATTAAAGCATTAACTGGTAATGGAGAAACCTTCCTGTACACACACACACACACACACCTCTTTCTCTGCCTCCTTCAGTTCGGCTTCCTTTTCCTTGACTCTCTGGACAAACATCTGCCTCATCTCCTCCTCCTTCTTCTGCAGGTCGCCCATGAACTCGTTCCTCTTGGCCTCGTACGTCTCCTGCAGACTGGGGTCCACACAGAAAGAGGAAAGTCATAAATTAAGTTACACATGTTCGAACTATGTCGCTACATTCACATTACAGTGAATTACAGCAGAGTGTAATTGAAATCAGAATGCAACAAGTGATTTTCATTAACTAAGGGGGTGGTAGGAAGTGGAAAGTAGTGCACACTCCTTGGCGTGGATTTTAAAGCACTGAAATGATGTTAGCATTGGCTTGAGGGAGTTTCAACCATTGTTAAAAAAACCTTACACTCGTGGGAATTGGCCTATTTGGATAGGGCTAAATTGAAATGTTTCTTACAGAAGAAATAACCATGGTAGCAATTAAAAGGGAACAGTTTGGAGATTCTGGGAAAATTATTAGACTAAAAGTGAGGACACAACAGTTGACACAAGACTGAATCCAAACATTACACTGTTGGTTTTATCTGCATTTAACATTTACTGTACTTTTCGGCACATTTGTTGATAACGAAATCTGCAAATACTCTGGATACATTCAATGACATGATAAGAATATTCTTGGAAAATGTGGGGTAGGTGCAACATAAGACAGAAAAATGACACAGGTTTGAGTGAGAGGTCTAACTGGTGTTTCCAAGTGGCCACACACCTCTCCAAAGTGTGCTCAGTTCCTAAGTAATTTCAATGCACTTTTATGACTCAAAGAGTCTTCAACTATGTGTTTTTTTTTTAGCTCTCCTAGCTGTGCCGTTGAGGAACTAGAGCAAGCACACTTGTAGTTGTTTTGTTTGGAACACAGCCCTGCATTCCCGCCTTTACACAATTACTGTTGTTGTTTACACAATCCAAAAATGGACCATTATAAATCGCAATCTGTCCATTATAAATACGATCTTACAGTGTTAGGCTTTCACAAGGCAATTCAGAGAAGCAGATCGTAATTTTGGTGCGCATAGAATGGAGTCATGAGTGCATTCAGATGCATGGTCCACTGCAAACGTTCTTCACAATAAAACAAACATAGGCTCATTCTGTTCAGGACAACCCAGGGTATAACGCCATGTCAACTTGTAACTGTATATCAAACATAGTGATCATAAACGTTGACCCTGTATATGACATGAGTTTTATGATATGGAAATATGAAGTGCACATTTGGACTCACAGGTGTTTGGCTTGCTTGTATGACATCAAAGCGGTATTTATTATAATCCTCAATGTCTCATCTTTCAAAATACATTGAGTCCTCTTAATTTAAAGATTTTCCCTCATTCAGACAACAAAACATTTGCAAAAGTTGCCCAATTATTGGGAGGGATGGGGGGAACTTCTTGACGCGCGAGGTGCTCAAGTTCAGAACAGCTGTCAGTCAAAACCCATACAGCGCTGTGACGTGGAGACCCTGAGCTCTGTTACTGTACAGCCACTGCGTTCCAATTTAGGCGCTTATCAGTATCCAAATCTGCCATTTTCAACCCGAATACAAGTGTAACGAGCTACATCCATGACAGCAAATGTGCAGGGTGGAGAATTGTGACGCGGTCTTGGAAGGATGTAGGGAGTAAAGAGGAAACTGGAAGCGAGGAGGAAATAGGAAGGGAAACAGCCGCACCTGAAGGGTTTGCAGTCGGGGTCCGTGTCCTTGAAGCCCATCTCCTCCAGCTTGCAGCGGCGGTAGAGCTCGTAGTGACGCGTGTGGGTCTGCTCCCGCAGGTCCTCCATGTTCACCCGGATCAGCATCTCCCGCAGCTTCACAAAGTCACAGTGGTTCTCATTCTCCACTGCCGACGACAACACACACACACAGACACAGACACCCCATAGAGTGAACTGAGTAGAGCGTGGAGCACAACGTCAGAGACAGCCTTGGGCCACAACTATTGTATTTGTGTTCCATGTGAGGACAAGGCTAGTTCATACAACCCCCCCACGTATCCACACACAGCCTAAATCGACATACGTACGAGCACACCATAGGGAACCAAATTACAAATTGACAGCTGATAAGGTGTGGGGATATGGAGGAAGTGTCATCTAATTCTAATATCTTATAATTTGATATACTGAGAATACGAGACATTTCACATTTATCTTCCTATGGTAAGTCAGTGACTTTCTCTGATAATCGTCACAGGTTTCACAATCTACCACTTTTCAAGCATTACTGACTTGTTTCGCGATAAATCGATAAATCCATAGAATCCTCAAACATTTGTGACATGGAATTCGGTTACTCCCCATCTAAGTGACATGACTCAAGCAACAGCTGCTGTTGGTCATACATTTATGCAAGAGTGGAGGCATGTAGTGTTAAATAGACAAACATGAATGAGATTACATAAGCAGCAGTGATGGATTCCCTCTTGACGGTATGAATGCTGTTGTTTAGGGAGTTGAGTGGGAGGGAAACGGTGGCGGGAGGATCCCCCTATCATTTCCTCTGTGATACGTGACCTAGCTTACCCTGCACCGTTCCCCAGGGGTACTGCCGCGCTTTCACCATCTTGTTGCCGATCTTTACTTCCTCCGTGCTTCCCACAACGGCGAACGGCAAATGGCCCTGCGGAGCCGAAGGAAGAAAGGATTCTATTACATAACTTCATTATTTATTTGTTTAGATTTGGATAAATTGGAGCATATCTCTTGACAGGCAAACCAATTGCAGAGTGAACCAATTACAAAGTGAACTATATGTGACATGTCAAGTTAGGCCTACAATAGCAAATTGATATACGTTCCCTACATCCAACAACAATAGCTCATTTTCATAAACAGGGAGTGCTTCTCACTGAAGTGGTCGGGTTGGTGACCTTTCTGCCAGAGTGGAAGCATCATTGTGAGAACGGAGGGCGAGAGCCTCGAGAGCTAATTGACTAACGCAAATCAGCTGGGTTCTGCTCAGTGCTCAGTCAGAAGCATTGGCATGCTCTACTCGCTTGTCACTCCTCATGGTCCGCTCATTTAGCCCTGGCCCTGTTGTCAGTGGCCAGGGGCCCTTTCCCACACTGAGAGCTTCCTGTAGCGAGAGCTAGCTGATTGTCCTACACTGTCCTGGACTGTACTGTCCCCTCCCTGTGTGGACACAGATGGTGCTTGTATCCTGTTCTAGTGTTGCATGTTGTTCTGAGAATTAACTGAATAAATGACCCAGAACTCATAGTGAAAGGATTCTCACATGAGGGGTTACAGATACACAACTATATCTACTGTAATGATTCTGTCCACTGTATTGTATGTATATTGTTTTGTAATGTGCCTGTCCTCACAAAAATATCTTCCATGAAAACAGACAATCAAGTATCGTATTATATGATTTTCTCCCTAATCAAACCATGTCAGTCATACTTATAGTTCTCAACTATAACTAAAAAGTCTGTATTGATCAAATTTGCTGAAATGCTACTGAACTAAAATGAGCGGCATCAGAGAAGGGTTAGCTTACGTTCATGGTGGAGTTGATCTCTGCCACCGTCTCGTCGTCGGTGGGGAACTGGTAGATCTGAACGCCGTTGCTGACCAGCTCACTGGTGATCTTGATCTTGAACTTGGTCAGCTCGCTCTTGGAGATGGCGTCTGATTTGGCGATGATGGGGATGATGTTGACCTGTCATTTGAGGAGATTGAATTAGATTCTAAAACGTTATTAGGCTATCCGCTAATGAGGAAATTATGTATGGCGCATATAGACAAAACAATCCATCAAAATACATACAAATAACACAGATCTTGTAATACCTTACGGACTTGCATCAAGATAAAAGCATACTGAATCACAATTATTTTGAAGACTGTGCGAACAAATAATGCCTACACTTTGGGATATAGCTAAATAAGGATTGGCTTTGAGGCTCATGACAAATGCAATTTACAACACTACACTTTCACCAGGACAAAACAACAACTGAAACTAACTTGTTTAAATTGGGTCTACTTTCAAACAGAGCCCATAAATAATTATATGGTTATTTAATCCAAAACCTCTCTCAGCTCCAAACATTAAGGGTTGGTTTCCCAGATAAAGACGAAGCCTAGTCCTGGACTAAAAAGCCCTTCGATGGAGCTTCTCCACTGAGAATTATTTTAAGTACAGGAATAAGCTTAATCTATAATAAGCACATACGGTGCATTCAAATAAAAGAAAAAAAGATTTGCCACATGTGCCGAATACAACAGTGAAATGCTTACTTACAAGCCCTTAACCAACAATGCAGTTTTAAGAAAAATAAATGTTAAGTAAAAAATAGATAAGTAAAAAACAAATAATTAAAGAGCAGCAGTAAAATAAAATAACAGTAAGGAGGCTATATACAGGGGGTACCGGTACAGAGTCAATATGTGGAGGCACCGGTTAGTCGAGGTAATTGAGGTAATATGTACAGTGAGGGAAAAAAGTATTTGATCCCCTGCTGATTTTGTACGTTTGCCCACTGACAAAGAAATGATCAGTCTATAATTTTAATGGTAGGTTTATTTGAACAGTGAGAGACAGAATAACAACAACAAAAATCCAGAAAAACACATGTCAAAAATGTTATAAATTGATTTGCATTTTAATGAGGCATATAAGTATTTGCGAGCATCTCTTATGCAGCCAGGACATCACAGCTAGCTAGCTAAACGTGGGGAACATCTGGCCAAGACAGGATATAAATAGACCCTGAGATCTGGGCCTACCCTCCCTTCCTTACGTTTCTCTGGATGCCTTGTGCCTTGGTCAAAAGCAGGGATATCATCTAGCCGGATACGGAAAAAAAAAATGTAGCTTGTCTTTTTAAATCTGAACACCTCTAGTCTCTACTAGCTTCAGGAATGTTTGTGCATTTTCAATTCGGGCCCATCTACAGTGGGGGAAAAAAGTATTTAGTCAGCCACCAATTGTGCAAGTTCTCCCACTTAAAAAGATGAGAGAGGCCTGTAATTTTCATCATAGGTACATGTCAACTATGACAGACAAAATGAGAAAAGAAATTCCAGAAAATCACATTGTAGGATTTTTTATAAATTTATTTGCAAATTATTGTGGAAAATAAGTATTTGGTCAATAACAAAAGTTTCTCAATACTTTGTTATATACCCCTTGTTGGCAATGACACAGGTCAAACGTTTTCTGTAAGTCTTCACAAGGTTTTCACACACTGTTGCTGGTATTTTGGCCCATTCCTCCATGCAGATCTCCTCTAGAGCAGTGATGTTTTGGGGCTGTCGCTGGGCAACACGGACTTTCAACTCCCTCCAAAGATTTTCTATGGGGTTGAGATCTGGAGACTGGCTAGGCCACTCCAGGACCTTGAAATGCTTATTACGAAGCCACTCCTTCGTTGCCCGGGAGGTGTGTTTGGGATCATTGTCATGCTAAAAGACCCAGCCACGTTTCATCTTCAATGCCCTTGCTGATGGAAGGAGGTTTTCACTCAAAATCTCACGATACATTGCCCCATTCATTCTTTCCTTTACACGGATCAGTCGTCCTGGTCCCTTTGCAGAAAAACAGCCCCAAAGCATGAAGTTTCCACCCCCATGCTTCACAGTAGGTATGGTGTTCTTTGGATGCAACTCAGCATTCTTTGTCCTCCAAACACGATGAGTTGAGTTTTTACCAAAAAGTTATATTTTGGTTTCATCTGACCATATGACATTCTCCCAATCCTCTTCTGGATCATCCAAATGCACTCTAGCAAACTTCAGACGGGCCTGGACATGTACTGGCTTAAGCAGGGGGACACGTCTGGCAATGCAGGATTTGAGTCCCTGGCGGAGTAGTGTGTTACTGATGGTAGGCTTTGTTACTTTGGTCCCAGCTCTCTGCAGGTCATTCACTAGGTCCCCCCGTGTGGTTCTGGGATTTTTGCTCACCGTTCTTGTGATCATTTTGACCCCACGGGGTGAGATCTTGCGTGGAGCCCCAGATCGAGGGAGATTATCAGTGGTCTTGTATGTCTTCCATTTCCTAATAATTGCTCCCACAGTTGATTTCTTCTAACCAAGCTGCTTACCTATTGCAGATTCAGTCTTCCCAGCCTGGTGCAGGTCTACAATTTTGTTTCTGGTGTCCTTTGACAGCTCTTTGGTCTTGACCATAGTGGAGTTTGGAGTGTGACTGTTTGAGGTTGTGGACAGGTGTCTTTTATACTGATAACAAGTTCAAACAGGTGCCATTAATACAGGTAACGAGTGGAGGACAGAGGAGCTTCTTAAAGAATAAGTTACAGGTCTGTGAGAGCCAGAAATGTTGCTTGTTTGTAGGTGACCAAATACTTATTTTCCACCATAATTTGCAAATAAATTCATTAAAAATCCTACAATGTGATTTTCTGGATTTTTTTTCCTCAATTTGTCTGTCATAGTTGACGTGTACCTATGATGAAAATGACAGGCCTCTCTCATCTTTTTAAGTGGGAGAACTTGCACAATTGGTGGCTGACTAAATACTTTTTTTCCCCACTGTATGTGCATTTCCGACATAATCAGAGCTTGGAACGAAGTAAAGATTTTTTTTTTTAACTGGTAGCGCAGAGCAGTAAGAGAGAGTAGTACTAGTGAACCTCCAACGCATGCTCCATCTCGTGAAGAGCTCTCCAAACACATTGTTAATGATGAGAGCCTACTGATCCAGCTAGCTCAGAAGAAACACTACCTCCAGCCCCCATGTTTGGTGCAAACAGAAGCAGAACATGAAGAGAGGGAGGGAAGAGATACAGTATGTCCAAATATCCGCTTCAATGGAGCCCACATGACTGAAGAGGCACAAGGAGGCAGGGGGGTCTTTGTCAAACATCCACCCACCACCACTTGTCGCCCATAAACTCAAGAGACACTGCACTTCCTCCTACGCAACCAACTTTTTTTTCACTCACTTTGGCCAGCCTCAAACGCCATCCACTAGCATTGGCCCTTGGACACCCCTATAGAGGGCTTTACAGTCGCTAGTAGCTATGATGCTGGGCTGATGCTAAGAGCTGTGTGATGTATACACAGGGAGGCTTCTGCTCTGGATCAAAGATCACACTGTTGTGAGAGACTGAGAGGTGGGTAGGATACAGCTGCTCTGGCAAACACTGAGGAGCCCCTTTCTTCAAAATCCAGGAAGTCTCTATGCAAATAGGGCTTTTTGAGGTGGCATTAGGAAAATTGAGTGAGCGGTCACCGTGACGATCAAGGGCCTGCGTTTTACGGCTGACCTACACCGACGCTGTCACAGGACAGGAGCGCATCTGTGAGCGTGCAAAGTGTGTGGAAATAGTTTATGAGCCACCGTGAAATGATGATGAAGTGCTCTGTGACGACATCGATGATGCCTTGCATCTACATATTGACATCGTCTTGAGGCTAGAGAGCTCTCTCTTTCCCCCCCTGCATTTTATAAATAGCTATGACAAAAATATGACTCTTCGACTGAGGTTCCCATCATATTAGGGAGACTGCTTTTCAAGTGACACTTCAAAATCAGCAGAGTTCAATAAATGGATCGCGTAATATGGTAATTTAGCAGATATCTTTAGCCAAAGTGACTTACAGAGAAGCCAACATTGACAGTGACACATATAGGCCAACTTAGTATACTATATCTGGCCCATGCAGGAATTTAACCCACTGATCCATTGGAATCATAGTGTAATTAGCTAGCGTCGCAGCTCACCTTGCTGTCCAGTTTCTTCATAGTGACCAGGTCCAGGGACTTGAGGGAGTGTCCGGTGGGCGCGATGAAGTACAGGCAGGCGTGGATGCGAGTGTCGTGGTAGCTGTGTAACGTGCGCTTGATTTTCAGCTCCTCCTGCAGATAGGCCTCGAACTGGGTGTCGATAAACTCCACAATAGACTTGTAGCTGAGGAGAGAAAAACTTAAATGGGTTATTAATGTGTTATAAACGCATGATAAACAGGTAATAAGGAAACTAGGTTTATGACAGCGGAGCACCTAAAAGAGAAAGTATCTTACTATTGTCTATGAAGGGTTCAAAGGTAGCTATCCCTTTGCCTTTTTAAAAATGTCTCACTCAAAATCAAGACAGTTCCACCACCATATAATATCAGAAGGTGTTGTAAAGCATCTCTTAAGTGAGAGATTAAAGCCAGTTTGTTTTTTCATCCCAGAGTGTAGTCAATGAGAGGTAGCTAGCTCCCTATAAGGAACCTGCTGATCCCTCATTCAGCTGAGCTGGGTCTCATTAGCTGGGAGTCATCAGGCAGAACTTGGGATGGATGCCACTAACTGCTAGCCCTTAGCTCACACTGGCGCTCACATGACATCATCCAATCCTCTCTCTGTGATCTCTCATGACGAGGAATGAGGATCACATGACAGGAGGGAGAGAGAGTGGAGACAATTAGATCCCATGTTGACTAGAATGCTTCCATCAGTGGGGAAAAGTGACAGGTAGAGCAGTCCTCCTTTCCCCACAGACAAAACAGTATGATTTAGCCCTGAAGACTCCTGGCTCAAGTGTCAGACTGCTGATATTTCTATTGTCTGTTTTCATAAAGGTATGGGAGTGGGATAATAAGAGTGGTCCCTGATGTTCTACTAGACTCCAGAGGGGGCGACCTCAAGTCCACACTTCATAGGGGGGCATCTCAAGCATGCACAATTAATGAGTGACATTCACAAACGATCAATGCCGTGAAAGATAACATATTCTTGGTAGCGGTATATAAACACCAGGATCGTATTCATTCGTTTTCTTCTGTTTTGTGCCTAATGAATGCGACCCATAAGTTATTGTACAATCTAAACATCTCTTAGACACATGAAGAGGAACCTGGGGCTCTCTTACCAAAGTCATACATGCACACACACACACACACACACACACACACACACACACACACAGTATATTCATATGTTTATCTACATCATTGTCTCTCACCTGTCCTCTTTGTTAATCTGGTCTCCGAAGCCCACAGTGTTGACCACGGTCAGCTTGAGGCGCACGTTGCTCTCCTGGAGCTCGTAGGTGTTGGACTTGAGCTGCACGCCCGGCTGGTTGTGCTGGGTGGGCTCGCCCTCGAACTTGGTGTTGAACAGGGTGTCCATAAGAGTGGACTTGCCGAGGCCCGTTTCCCCTAAAACACACATCTTCAGTTAATTCACTATTGTGTCCTTTTTCTGTGGACTCTGTATCTGGACTTTGAGTTTGTGTGAGATAGTTGTACTAAGCTCATTGGGCATTTATAAGCTATATTCTCCAAGAATCAATGGGTATAGGCTACATTATATCATTAATGGAAATGGCCATTGAACATCAGGGAATATCCCAGATTGGGCCATTGTCCGAATAAATGTGGGCTTAAAAGGCACATTACATACTGTGCATGCATACTGTACATTACATGGATTTAGTACTGTACATCCCTGTTGAAAAGACTACAGTTCTACAATCTGGACTCGGGCTGCAGAGCAGATCTCTCTATGCCACCAGAATGTACATTATATGGACACTTCCCATTTTTCACATCTTCATAAATTTGGCGTGTGAACCCCTCCCTCTGGCTTCTCTGCTGCTTTTGGCAGGAGAGGAGCTTTTCAATGGAATAAAAAAAAAGATACGCCGTAGAAACGTTTAATAACTTGGCTGCCTTTAAGAGGAACTACATTGAATGTGACATCTTGAAGCAGGGCAGCGCAACAACAAGCTAATCCTATGTTCACCATGGTTGATATCTGGAGCAGACCATGGAAAAAAAGGGCAGCAAGGGTCTGAGTCACGGATGTCCTGATGCGTTCTGACAAACTCATACTGTTCGAAGCTATCAGTCGAGTGAGTCAGCTGCCTTCCTCTCCCAGTGCCAGAAAATGTTTTGGGTCAAAAGTAGTTCACTATATAGGGAGCCATTTGGGATGCAGACCTAGGCCTATTTCTGTTCATCTGACACCACATTTACACACGGAGCAAGCAGAGCGGTACACTGCCAACGCCAGTAGCCTTCTATTCACAGCGCATCAGGGTTTCACTCTGAGTGCACACTAAATAGTAAACGGGGGATAGAATGGAACAGCACAGTGCCTGTGTCTGAGAGAGAGAGAGAGTCTACCTCAGGACTTTGTCGAGAGGTTTCTGTGGTCTCCCATCATCCTTATGGAAACTTGTCAGGGCTGAACAAAGCTATGAGCATCTCGCTTGGTAGGGACCCATGCTGAACCTCATGCTAAAGATGGGGTCCTGACATCAAAAGGTTTACATTTGAACGTACCAGCAAAACGCATTTTTTTAAAATCTAAGTATTGTGAAGAAAAACAGCAGTTATGATGAATCCTAATGGGGATGTACTACAGCAGAATTTTTTTTGCTCTCAATTCAGTTCTTGCTGTTTTGTTTAGACCACAACCACAAGCCTCCGGATCGCATTTCTGGGCTTTGAGCTGTAGGCCTGTGCAGTTTACAACTGTTTTGCTTTCTCTGACTTTAGAGTAGGCTGTAATAATAGAGGTTCATTTGGCTTCTGCCATTGCTTTGGAATGTTTTGATTGCCACGGATAGCTTTCTAGTAATTCAGAGTGTGTAAAATGGAGAGGGGATTGTATTCTGTTTCCTACTTTCAACAAAATTTACAAAATGGACCATTTGGTTTAAACATATACAGTGCCTTGCAAATGTATTCATCCCCCTTGGCGTTTTTCCTATTTTGTTGCATTACAACCTGTAATTTAAATGGATTTTTATTTGGATTTCATGTAATGGACATACACAAAATAGTCCAAATTGGTGAAGTGAAAATAATAACTTGTTTCAAAAACGTCTAAAAAATAAATAATGGAAAAGTGGTGCATGCATATGTATTCACCCCCTTTGCTATGAAGCCCCTAAATAAGATCTGGTGCAACCAATTACCGTCAGAAGTCACATCATTAGTTAAATAAAGTCCACCTGTGTGCAATCTAGGTGTCACATGATCTCAGTATATATACACCTGTTCTGAAAGGCCCCAGAGTCTGCAACACCACTAAGCAAGGGGCACCACCAAGCAAGCGACACCATGAAGACCAAGGAGCTCTCCAAACAGGTCAGGGACAAAGTTGTGGAGAAGTACAGATCAGGGTTGGGTTATAAAAAAATATCAGAAACTTTGAACATCCCACGGAGCACCATTAAATCCATTATAAAAAAATTTGAAAGAATATGGCACCACAACAAACCTGCCAAGAAAGGGCCGCCCACCAAAACTCACAGACCAGGCAAGGAGGGCATTAATCAGAGGCAACAAAGAGACCAAAGATATCCCTGAAGGAGCTGCAAAGCTCCACAGCGGAGATTGGAGTATCTGTCCATAGGACCACTTTAAGCCGTACACTCCACAGAGCTGGGCTTTACCGAAGAGTGGCCAGAAAAAAGCCATTGCTTAAAGAAAAAAATAAGCAAACACGTTTGGTGTTCGCCAAAAGCCATGTGGGAGACTCCCCAAACATATGGAAGAAGGTACTAAAGAGACTAAAATTGAGCTTTTTGGCCATCAAGGAAAACGCTATGTCTGGCGCAAACCCAACACCTCTCATCACCCCGAGAACACCATCCCCAAAGTGAAGCATGGTGGTGGCAGCATCATGCTGTGGGGATGTTTTTTTATCAGCAGGGACTGGGAAACTGGTCAGAATTGAAGGCGCTAAATACAGGGAAATTATTGAGGGAAACCTGTTTCAGTTTTCCAGAGATTTGAGACTGGGACGGAGGTTCACCTTCCAGCAGTACAATTACCCTAAGCATACTGCTAAAGCAACACTTGAGTGGTTTAAGGGGAAACATTTAAATGTCTTGGAACGGCCTAGTCAAAGCCCAGACCATCAATCCAATTGAGAATCTGTGGTATGACAAAGATTGCTGTACAACTTGAAGGAGCTGGAGCAGTTTTGCCTTGAAGAATGGGCAAAAATCCCAGAGGCTAGATGTGCCAAGCTTATAGAGACATACCCCAAGAGACTTGCACCTGTAATTGCTGCAAAAGGTGGCTCTACAAAGTATTGACTTTGGGGGGGGTGAATAGTTATGCACGCTCAAGTTCTGTTTTTTTGTCTTATTTCTTGTTTGTTTCACCCCAAAAAATATTTTGCATCTTCAAAGTGATAGGCATGTTGTGTAAATCAAATGATACAACCCCCCCCAAAATCCATTTTAACTCCAGGTTGTAAGGCAACAAAATAGGAAAAATGCCAAGGGGGGTGAATACTTTCACAAACCACTGTAAATCAAAATAAGGCTTAAAGACAACATGCTTCATAACCAGACCATTTCACCATAATAGATAAATATGAAAACTATCTGTCAATGATGCCCAAATACCATTCAGCTAAGTTGTATACAGCCTCAAAATGAGGCCTATGGCATACGCATTTCATTCTGAGATCCTGTAATATAGGGAGTGAAATATACATTTACATTTTAAGTCATTTCAGCAGACGCTCTTATCCAGAGCGACTTACAGTTAGTGAGTGCATTCATTTTCATACTGCCCCCCCCCCCGTGGGAAACGAACCCACAACCCTGGCATTGCAAGCACCGTGCTCTAACAACTGAGCTACAGGGGACTACACGCATGTCTATTGTCTATTGCTTTGAAATTATTGGGGGGAGATGCAGAATTACACTTGACTGGAATCATTTTAGGGGCTTCATTTCTACGCGCAGTCCCAGACGATAGCTTGACTGACGGAAGATGAATTAGCTACGGTAATCAGAGTTGACTACTGACCAGTGAGAAGCAACCAAAGTGGGTCAAAGACAGAATGGATTGGGTTTGCATCTACAGTGGAAACGCCTGACATAGGCCTACATTGCGGCAGAGAAGGGCTCCCATTTTGCCTTCAGGAGAAAAAAAGGGAGGTTTTACGCATGACACACTCACCAACACAGAGGATGTTGAAGCAGAAGCCGTGGTTGACAGACTTGTTGACCAGCTGGTCGGGCATGCTATCAAAGCCGACATGGCCGGCTAGAGGGACGGCACGAGCACCTTCTCCCTAAAGACAAGAGAATGACTTTGAAATTAGAAACACTGAGTAAAGATGTGTAATTAATCATTAACAACCGGGTATAATCGCAGATGCATATGAAACTGGGGTGGTATGGATAAGGCTATCGTAACTTAGGTAAACATAGGCTGATCATAATATTATTATTTCACTTCAGTTTACACATTTCATGCAGGACCAGCCAACACAGAAATGTGACATTTCAAACATTGACTTCCACAACTACTGGTAGTACAGTTTTTAAGGCACAAACTGAAGAGTTAACCATAGCTACAATCTTCTATGGTTTAAGCTTAATGTAGCTTTTTTTGCCAGACCCATTCCATTGTATTCTACCAAGATAATTCTTGTCAGCTAATTTCTCTGGTGCTCTAGCTGTGATACACTTCCTGTTTCCTGCTGACATATTTGCATACAGCAGTCTAGACTGTTGAAACCACGATGTCCATATATGGAAAGTAAAACATCACATTTGAAGAGTTACAGGCTGTACAGGTGTTGAAAACAAGCCATGCACAGTAGAACGATGGCATGTTTGTGTGAGAGTAACAATTCCACGTTATAAATGTATTATAACAAATGACCCAACTTGATACAGGAGGACATGGATCCTACGAGTCCCATCGAAAATGTTGTAGACCCTAAATCCATAAGGGTCTAATATGGAATGTGTGTGTGTGTGTGTGTATGTGTTTTTACTATCCTTGTGGGGACCAGAAGTGCACACAAGGATAGTAAAACAAGGAAAATTCATACAAGTGGGGACATTTCGCAGGTCCCCACAAGGAAAAAGGCTTATGGGTTAGGTTTAGGGGTACAATTAGGGTTTGGGTTAGATCCCCACAAAGTCAGTAAAACAAACGTGTGTGTGTGTGTGTGTGTGTGTGTGTGTGTGTGTGTGTGCATGAAGGAAGCTAGCATCATCACACATTCTCTGCTTCTTGAACTGCACAGGGTGGTGATGTGAGCAGGAATGCAAGGAATTTAGATTACATGGAACTGCCAAGCATGCCCTCAATAGTGAATCAACTGAAGCAACCACACCACTAAAAGGCCTAAATGTTTTTAAAATATATAGTGGCTTTGAGGCAGACTGCAAAATCCACTCAGCTAAAAGAGGAGAGGTTGAAAATAGTTATGCAGACTGGGGTAAACAGTTGTCATTTGTATAGTTAGAATTGTGTTTAAACAGCTGAAAGGCTATTAGTTAAACAGATGGTTTTTCTTGACTCAACAAACACTCCTCAGCTGGCCTACATGTGCAGCATTCCCAAACCCAAGGCCTACTTGGGATCAAAGACACATCTGCGTTGCACAATTACATAATGCTTGTTGTTCTCGTCCATTCATTTAGACATTTCGGTTGAATTAACTGCACACAAAAAAGCGTTCATGTAGGCGAACATAACCGGAAAACCTATTTACGTTAGCCTACCAATCTAGCCCAAAGGCCGGCAGATGGCGATATTGATCCGGTATTGATGGTTTAAACGACTCAATATCGCCATCTGCCGGCCTTTAGGCTACTACCAATCCTTCAACCAGTGACTTTTCAAGCCTACTTCACTCTCACATTCTGAAATTAATTAAACCACTTTTGATGAATCCATATTACCCTCGTTATTATTTAGGTCTATATTATATACAAATATTAATAATTCCCACCCAGTTGTACCCTATATGATTCGTTATGCACATCAGACAACGCCCAGCAAACAAAGTAACAGGGCTGACAGGACCAGAAACAACGCTATAGGCTACTAACAGAATCGAACCAACGAGAGATGGCGGATATGCATGCAAATTGAAATGTCCAGAATAAAATATACAGTCATAATATCCTTAAATAGCATATCAATGTGAAGTATAGATAGATTTAATTGAGAAATTGAGAAATTATGAGGATACTGGATAGCAACGATAACCAAAAATGCGAACGCATGCGTGCAAATGGAGACTATCGAATGTTCGTAATAATTTGTATTTTTATCAATCCTGCGGTTTCGTAATGAGCGATATATATCTAGATAAATTGTATCATTACGATAATAACGTTCTAATAGAGGTAATTTGATATCGAGCTAGCCTATAAAAAACGGTGCAACAACCATGGTGAGAGGGGCTTTCCACCGACATCTATCCATGCTGTTTGAGTTAAATTCACCCAATACTTATCAAAATTAATAATTTTTGCAAGCTACAACGGTGCCCTAGCCAAAAAAAGCTAGAAAATCATCCTTAACTATAGTACTCACCGCTTGCCTAGCTATTTCAGTGGCCGCCATGGTTCTTTTTTGATGAAGACCCTATGTAGGAAGCTGCACTACTATTCTGCTAGCAGCACTAACAATGACGTCACTTTCCTATGGTAATGTTGAAACCTTCAAAATAAAAGGCCGCATTTCAAAACATTGCAAGGTGGATAACTCATTCAAAAGATATAACATTTTAATCAATGTCGATTTTTATTGTGCTTATACGCAAATGCAAGAAGGAATTTATGGGGGGGGGGGGGGGGGGTTGTATGTTGACAATATTGGGCTTATAGTGAAGAAAAAAACGATTCTTTATGCTGATGTAAATGTGGGGTTGGGAGTACTCAGTAGGGTCTGTAGAATCTATATGGTGTCATTTCATGGGGCACTGAATAATATGGAATGTTGCTGGCCTTTTACTACACCCATTCCATAGGCCACAACGCATGTCACTGTATATGAACTAAAAAATATATATATATATTGGCTTAAAGAAAACAAACTATTATTTGTTCGGATGTAAAAGTGGGGTTGGGAGTACCTTCTCACCTAAACGCATTTTGGGCAAAGGCTGAAATTGGGGTTGAGAGTTACCTTTAAAAAATATATATGGATAATTTGACATACTTTTATTTTAAATATTGTATTATTTATAACAGCATTTGTTTAGAAAGTTTACACCAATACTGGTAAATTGAATGCTATTGTGTAGGCTATATGTAAAGAAATACACTTTTAATAAACTAGGTCGTTATCAATAAAACATCACAATAAAGTGCAGAGCGTGGCCCATTATATTAGGCAATCGGTATTACTGGGCTATACCAACCAATAAGCTAGACATAGTTTGAAGCAGTGGTTTAAAGTACTTAAGTATAAATACTTTAAAGTACTACTTGAGTAGTGTTTTTGGGTATCTGTACTTTACTTTACTATTTATATTTATATTTTTGACTTTTACTCCACTACATTCCTAAAGAAAATATACTTTTTACTCCATACATTTTCCCTGACACCCAAAAGCACTCTTTTCATTTTGAATGCTTAGCAGGACAGGAAAATTGTCAAATTCACGCACTTATCAAGAGAACATCCCTGGTCATCCCTACTGCCTCTGATCTGGTGGACTCACTAAACACACATGCTTCATTTGTAAATTATGTCTGAGTGTTGGAGTTTGCCCCTGGCTATCCGCAAATTTAAAAAACAAGAAAATCGTACCGTCTGGTTTGCTTAATATAAGGAATTTGAAATGATTTATACTTTTATTTTTTATACTTCAGTATATTTTAGCAATTACATTTACTTTTGATACTAAAGTATATTTAAAACCAAATACTTTTAGACTTTGACTCAAGTAGTATTTTACTGGGTGACTTTTACAGGGTGACTTTTACTTTTACTTGAGTCATGTTCTATTAAGCTATCTTTACTCGTACTCAAGTATGACAGTTGGGTACTTTTTCCACCACTGGTTTGAAGAGAGCAGAGTTGGAGAGACTTGCACTTTCTCTTGAGCTACGTTTTATGTAGTAAACTATAGCCTAATCATATTTAGGAAGTACATTTCCTTGGAAATATAACTTCCCTGTGCTTTATTGCCCACACTATTTAATTGAAACCACAAGCCGGGCCGGGCAGCCTGCACCTCCGACTGTTCCTCATGATCTCAGAAGAGAGGAGCCAGCCCAGGTTAGCTTAGAATCCTACCCTGGCCACAGGTTTTATGTCCAAAAACATTAATTTAATAGCAACTGGTTCCTAGGAAGAGAGTGACTGGAATACTCGGTTACTGCAGATGCTATTATGGTTTTCTTGGTAGCCTGATATCTCAGGAGTGATAAGTATATTTTTTGTCTTTATCTGTTGTTGTCTAGTACTTGTCTTTTTGCTAGCTAGGGCCATCTACTTTAAGTGCTGCCTCTCTTCCCTCTATTGACACATCAACCAGGATCAAGGGGCAGGGCAGTTTGTGACTGTTGTTGTTTTGGTAATCAGTGGCTGTATTGGAGGGGGAGTGGTTTCTCCTCTCCAAGGCAATCAGCGTTTAGTACCGGGAGGTGTGCTCTTCACCTTTGCATGGCAATTAAATTAGTATTAGTACTTCAGTCCCCCCTGTTTTCTCAGTGGCTGCTGTAAGCATCGGTCTTGTCGCAAAACTAAGACCGTTGCTAAAACAAAGACATTTCTGCCAAGTTGTTCTGCGGAGTTCAGTCGAAGGAAGAAGAGGAAGCCTCAACACCACTCTCTCACTTTAGTATTTTACCTAGTTATTTTCAGATAATCTCATTTTGCTCTTTTGTAGCTTTGTCAACTATGTGTGTGTTTTCTATCCCAGTTCACTCCTCTCCCTGTAGGCTTTACAGACGCTCCTCCACCCCTTGGCTGCAGCCCTTCTAATTTAGTGTACCCTGCGTGCACAACCGATGTGGAATTCCTGGTCTCTGGCAGCGTTTGGAACTACCAGTCTGCGGTCAAGAACGGCGAGTTTATCTCAGCCTATGCTGCCCTTCAGTCCCTTGACTTTTTGGCCCTGACATCTTCTCTCATAGTCCGAAAGCATCTGTTCGTCGCGGTGGTGGCTACTCATTTCTTCTAAGTGGAGATTTTCTCTTTCTCCCTCTCTCACCTGTCAATCTTCTCATTTGAATTCCATGCTGTCACTGTCACTTGGCCACTCAAGCTTAACATTGTTGTCATCGATCGCCCACCAGGTGTCCTTAGAGAGTTCCTCAATGAGCTTGACACCTTGATAAGATGGTTTCCTGCTGATGGCTCACCGCTCTTCGTACTTGGCAACTTCAACCTTCCGACGTCTGCCTTCGATTCATTTCTTTCCAACTCTGACTTTCCCCTCCTTGCCTCTTTTGACCTCACCCTTTCCCAGTCCCCTCCCACTCACAAGGCAGGCAATACGCTTGAACTCATCTTTACTAGAGGGGGTTTGCCTACTAATCTCACTGCAAGCCCTCTCCAGGTCTCTGATCACTACTTTGTTTCCTTTTCTGTGTCCCTTTCCTCCAACCCTAGCCACTCAGCCCCTACCCAGATGGTCATGCACCGTTGCAATCTTTGCTCTTTATCTCCCACTACTCTTTCCTCTTCTATCCTATCATTTCTCCCTTCTGCTAAATCCTTCTCCCTCCTGTCTCCTGATTCTGCCTCTTCGACCCTACTCTCCTCCCTTTCCGCATCCTATGACTCGCACTGTCCCCTTTCCTCCTCTCCTGCTCCATGGCTGAGTGACTCATTGCGAGCTTACAGAACAGGGCTGCGGGCAGTTGAGCGAAAATGGAGGAAAACTAAACTTCTGGAGGACCCATCATCCTTTCACTCCCTCCTTTCTACCTTCTCTTCCTATGTATCCACTGCTAAAGCCACTTTCTATCACTCTAAATGTCAAGCTTCTACCTCTAACCCTAGGAAACTATTTTCCACCTTCTCCTCCCTCCTTAATCCTCCACCCCCCCGCCCTCTCTGCGGATGACTTTGTCAACAACTTTGAAAAGAAGGTTGACAACATCCTCATTTACTCAGCCTATTGAGTCCACTTGTCCCACTCACACAGAACTATCCTACACCTTGACCTCTTTCTTCCTCTCTCTCCAGATGAGATCTTGCGACTAGTGACGTCCGGCCGCCCGACCCCATCGCCTCCTCCCTTCTCCAGATCATCTCTGGAGACCTTCTCCCGTTCCTACTTCTCTCATTAACTCATCCCTGACCACTGGCGTCCCCTCTGACTTCAAAATTGCCCGATTTGCTCCCCTCCTCAAGAAACCAACACAACTCATCTGACGTCAAAAACTACAAACCGGTACCCCTTCTTTCTTTTCTTTTCAAAACACTTGAGCATGCTGTCTCTGACCAACTCTCTTGCTATCTCTCTCAGAACTATCTTCTTGACCCTAACCAGTCAGGCTTCAAGACGGGTCACTCAACCGAGACTGCTCTTCTCTGTGTCATGGATGCTATCTGCACTGCCAAAGCTGACTCTCTCTCCTCTATTCTCATCCTCCTAGATCTATCCGCTGCCTTCGACACCATGAACCATCAGATCCTCCTCTCCACCCTCTCACGGCTGCACACTTGGATTGCATCCTACCTGGCAGGCTGCTCCTACGAGGTGACGTGGAGAGGATCTGTGTCTGCACCACGTACTCTCACTACTGGTGTCCCAGAGGGCTCGGTTCTAAGCACTCTCCTCTTCTCTCTATACACCAAGTCACTCTGCTCCGTCATATCCTCACATGATCTCTCCTATCATTGCTATGCGGATGACACTCAACTACTTTTATACTTCCCCCTTCTGACACCCAGGTGGCGACACGCATCTCTGTGTGCCTGGAAGATATCTCAGCTTGGATGTCGGCCCACCACCTCAAGCTCAACCTCGACAAGACGGAGCTGCTCTTCCTCCCTGGGAAGGCCTGCCTGCTCCAAGACGTCTCCATCATGGTTGACAACTCCACGGCGTCCCCCTCCCAGAGTTCAAAGAACCTTGACGTGACCCTGGACAACACCCTGTTGTTCTCTGCAAACATCAAAGCAGTGACTCGCTCTTGCAGGTTCATGCTCTACAACATCCGTAGAGTACGACCCTACCATACACAGGAAGCGGCGCAGGTCCTAATCCAGGCGCTTGTCATCTCCCATCTGGATTACTGCAACTTTCTGTTGGCTGGGCTCCCTGCTGGTGCCATCAAACCCCTGCAACTTATCCAGAACGCCACAGCCCGCCTGGTGTTCAACCTTCCCAAGTTCTCCCATGTCACCCCGCTCCTACGCACACTCCACTGGCTTCCAGTCAAAGCTCGCAAGACCATGGTACTTGCCTACGGAGCAACAAGAGGAACTGCCCCTCCCTACCTTCAGGCTATGCGCCAACCCTATACCCCAACCATAGCACTCCGTTCTGACACCTCTGGTCTCTTGGCCCTCCCTCCCCTACCCCACAAAAATCATAATCCTGAACTAACACTCGCACTTGACTTTTTTTCTCCCCTTACTAGCTCTGACCTTGCTGATCTCTACTTTATTGAGGAAAAATGTATTACTATGACTGTGATATGTGGTTGTCCCACAAAGATGTGATTTTAATACAACAGGTAGGCTAACACATATAAAGCAGAAAGATGACCGTTTCCAAATAATCTGCGGGACAACCAAAATATTTTCATCCCAAAGTTGTCTCTCTGACCGCCCACTCCCAAGCGCAGCATGAAAAATTCCGAATGCGCTGCAATGATCTCTGTCGGGACCCGCATGCCCTCAACTATGAGGCAACTGTCTTAGCGGATCAGTCTCTGTGCCACCAATCAGTCATATCGGTTAAGAAAAAATACAACGAGTTGACATGACCACCATTGTCATTTATTTCTTGTTACGATGGATGTAGCTACCAATATAAACTATAATCCTCATTGCCTACATGTTGCATTTCTTCGTAAAAGCACATAGATGTGTATGAAACGGTAAGCAAAAACGTTGAAATTGGTTATGTGCCTTACGAATTTTGTGTAATGTCAGTAGTCTAGTCAAGGAAGCATCATGCTAATTATATTTGGCACACTCCACTGACCAAGACCATTGCCAAATACCTTGAGTTGGTACCACCCAGCACATCTAGAAGGGAGTGCACGTATTTCATACCGAACCCCTCCTTTGAAATGACGTCGAGGCTCTCTACATCACAATTTCAATGGTAGAGTTGAACCGCTAGGGGCAAAACGAGCTAGATTTAGTTAGTACTATAAAACCAAAATATATCACTTTTGCAACGAACTGTCAAAATTAAGACTAGAATTGACGTGTTTCACTATAAATAAATATACAATATCTGGTTTTAAAATGTATCTATTCATTCATGAAAGTTACTCCTGAGTGGCGCAGTGGTCTAAGGCACTGAATCTCAGTGCTTGAGGTGTCACTACAGACCCCCTGGTTTGATTCCAGGCTGTATCACAACCGGCCGTGATTGGGAGTCCGGTTGGGCGTGGCACAATTGGCCCAGTGTCGTCTGGGTTTTGCCGGTGTAGGCCTTCATTGTAAATAAGACTTTGTTCTTAACTGACGTGCCTAGTTAAATAAATAAAAATGTGGTTTCAATGCTGTGAAAAAAAAACTTGTACTGCACTAGAGTACAAAAATCTATATTACCTAAATGTAGCATGTCTTTCTTTTTAGGGAGACTCATATATTTTGAAAAAATAATCCGGCATCGTGCTGCCAGCATAATATTCTGCTGCCAGGAGAACGGTAATGGAAACAGAGATGGCAAGATAATTAATTGAAATATAAACTTTTAAAAAAGGATGGTGGCATATCATTATAAACTATGTTAAACTGATGAATTAATGTTTGCATAACCCCAAAATTACATACATCCTAATTATATGGTATCTCCCCTATTTTCCTTCATTGGAACCTTCTGGGTAGACTGGACTGGCTGGACCAGTAAAATGCCATAAAATACAAAAAAAATTTTGAAAATGTGTGACTGTAGCCTAACCATTTTGGTGGATAGCCTTCGCCTGTTGAGCTCGTAGCGTTATGATCATAGGCCTATACTGTATTATAGTTTCTGATCCCAATTGCTGCTACTTATTCAGATCAAGCATTATATCAATATTGGTCACACGTATGCATGTTTGTCTGTTTCTGTTTTCATTTGGGAGGTAACTGTTATACAAAAGCCTTCTCATTATCTCAAGCAGAGAGAAGAGGCGAAGTTTCAGTATATAGATAATCTTTGTCTCAAGTAATGCGCACGCATTTAACCATTTTACTTGATATATCGTATTATTCCACTTTTACAGCTCCCCTGTGCGACTGGCTCCCACGTGCGCACGTAAACCAATGGGATGACGAGAGGCGCAGTTTAAAAAGGAAGCCGCGAAGACGTTTCCGCTTATCCAAAACAAAACGGGCAATCCTAAAGATACCGGACAAGAATACGGTAAGCGGCACTCATATGACCACTAGCCACCAAACGGCAAGTCTTTGACACTGTATAATTTTGCACATTATTAGCAAGGTAGCTAGCTTGCTATCGCTTTTGAATGACAAAAGCCATGCCTACTAGCTAGCTGCGGGAGACATGTAACGTTAAAGGCCTCCCGGAGTAAAAAGGCTAATAACTAGTCATGCCTTCCACCAACCAAACCAAAGATTTTCGGAACAAACTTGGACGCTGTCCTCACTAACGTTATTCTCGGGTTGTCACAAACCTCAAGCGTATTTTGATTCCCTGATAGTTTATAATGAATAGCCTAGGTAGCAAATTGTCTGAAATGTCTAACTAGTTAGCTAACAAGATTTGACTAATTACCACTTGCCCAAACAGGAAATGGCTTCAATCATCTTCTCTGAGAGAGAAAATGCCACCCTCCATACACCTGCGCTGAAGATGCGCCAGCGGTTGCAATCTGTTCCAGGTACTCTGCCCTACCTACAATTGTCAAATGATTTACCTGCGTTTACGTCTACCTTGCTAGAACTGTCTATGCTTCATAGCCAAGGCTACATTGGTTGGTTTAACCACCATGAGAATGCGCATGCACTACTGTTACCATCTGAGACAGTACATTTTTTAACTATTGTCCCTGATTGTTGATATCAATAGTGTACACTTTGCTCAGCCTATTTACCACTTAAAATGTATGCTTACAGAAAACCTCTTGAAGACCCCTCTAACTGGAAAAAAGTTGCATACTCCTTTACAGTCCGGTCGCAAGGCTTTGGGGGCTAGTGAACAAGGTCCCATCAATGCCAACTGTAAATGGACAAGAGAAGAACAAACTCCTTGAGACACAGGTCAGAAGCTCACAATTTGACAAATTGTTTTTGCCAGGTGACGTGTGCCTATATCTGTGCAGTAATCATGATTTTCTCCCTTCAGGAAACAAAAGTTAAAACCCTCCCTCAGACCAAAGTAGAAGAATACCCAGATATTGAGATGTTTATCCCCTATGACCCACTTGGTAAGTCAACTATGGTGTTTTACCCTTTGATATTCCTCCACCTTTCTGATAACCACCCACTTACAGCTTATTTTTATTCTTTGTGATGTGGTTCTAGAGTATGAGAACTATGTCATCCCAGAGGATGTGGTTTGCCTGGGTCATCTTGCTCTGCCTGGACTGGTACGTCTCCCAGAAATGCCATGTCTGCCTGAAGAGGACTTTGAAGTGCTCGAGACATACACATGTTTTTCTCTGAAGAACCTGCAACGCTCAGGTTCGTCTCAGGATTTGGGGTTAAATTCCACTGTGGAATTGTCAGTGTCATATTTCAGTTTCTTTCCTTTATTTTCCTCAGACAACTGTGCTACGGAATTGGACGCGTTCCTTCAAACTATCAACAAGCTGACCATTGACCTGCCCCCAGAGATGGATGAATGCTGAGTCTATAGCTTTGTATTGGTTTTCACCCACTGTGTTCATCTGTTTTGTTTTTATAAATAAAGTTTGAGCTTTTTTAAAATCCTGACTAGTGTTAGGGAGTTATTTTATGTTGCTTTGGCTGCTGCAAATCTGACACTTGCAAGATCATGCAGAAGTCTCAAGTCAGACAATTATTTTGGAAATATTGCCTACCTATTCAAGGCTAATCCTTTAGGATATGTGCGAGCAATGATGTCAGGGATTCCTTGCTTGGTCCAAGACTTGTCTGTGCTGCTGTTTTGCCAACTCTTATGGTCATTGACACCCCAATGACCATAGGAGTTGGCAAGACAGCGGAAACAGACAAGTCTTGGACCAGGCAAGGAATCCCTGGCTAAGGGATTCCATGTAGACTACGCTATCATCACTTATTAATAAACATGAGTTACTCTGTTAGGTGTGGACTATACCAAATACACGCACCTACCAAGTACATTGCATGAAAATCAGAGATTATTTAAATGCATGTACTTGCATGTCATCTCTTGCACATCTATCATTCAAGTGTTAATACTAATTGTAATTATTTTGCACTATAGCCTATGTATTGCCTTACCTCCATAACTTGCTACATTTGCACACACTGTATATATATTTTCTGTTGTATTTTTGACTTTTTTTGGGGGGGGGGGTTTACCCCATATGTAACTGTTTTTATCGCACTACTTTGCTATCTTGGCCAGGTCGCAGTTGTAAATGAGAACTTGTTCTCAACTGGCTTACCTGCTTAAATAAAGGTGGAATAAAAAATTAAATACATGGTATAGTCCACAACTAACAGCATAATTCCTGTTTATTAATAAGTGATTAATTGGGAGCAGGGTTGGGGAGTAACTACATGTAATCTGATTACGAAAATATTGTGATACCTTTTGAGATACAGAAAGTATGTTTGTGGAAAAATACATGACACCTTTTTCCTCAATGACATTGAGAAAGTTTGTTCCACGTGAGGAGTCTAACCAAGTCTCCACTGATACACAATGTTTATGGATAATTTTTGTCAATGCCTGAAGGGGAAAGTAATCAAATTACGTTACTAAATTTGAGTAATCAAGAAGTTGCATTACTGATTACAATTTTGGACTGGTAACTAAGAACTAACGGGTTACATTTATAAATGAACCTACACAACCCTGATTGGGAGTAGGTCCGCATGGTGACTGGGTGTCACATTTATTTTCTTCTTAGTTTCCTCCCTTAAATCCACTAGTAGTCAGGTGTACATGAGGTTGTCATACTGTTGGTTTAGAATTAAAAATCAATTACTGTTGAGGCTAGGGGGTGGACAGAGGAGAAAATAGGAAGTTAAAATTATCTTAAATGTTTTGGGAGGATGAACTTCGATATGCTCTCTGAAACACTTGATGTAGATGGGTGGTTGCACAGTGACAAAATAGGTTTAAGCTGTTATAACTTTTGGGGAAATAAAGTTGAACTGATGTGCTACGAGGGCATGGGGATGTGCTTTTTGGAACACTGCGTATACTACAGGTAAGCAGAACAGTTATTCATCCAAGATCAAAAAGCTGCATTTGTCTCTTCTGATTTGTTTGTGTGTCTACAAAAGATGTCGGTGAACTGTCTTGTGCTTATAACAATGTAGCTAGCCAATGTCGTCTAAAAGCCTGTGTTTAGGCAACGGAAAAGAGAGGATAGTGATCTAATTTGGTTTTAAAACTAGCACCATTAGGGGCCTCCCGAGTGGCGCAGCCCCACTACATTACCGGCCATGATGGGGAGTCCCATAGGCCGGCGCATAATTGGCCCAGCGTCATCCGGTTTAAGGAAGGGTTTGGCGGGGGGGCTTTACTTGGCTCATCGCGCTCTAGCGACTCCTTGTGGCGGGCTGGGCGCCTGCAGGCTGACTGGTGTTTCCTCCGACACATTGGTGCAGCTGGCTTCCGGGTTAAGCGGGCGGGTGTTAAGGAACGCGGTTTGGCGGGTCATGTTTCGGAGGACGCATGACTCGACCTTCGGCTCTCCTGAGCCCATTGGGGAGTTGCAGCGATGAGACAAGATCGTAATTGGATATCACGAAAAAGGGGATAAAATAAAATAAAAAACTAGCAACATTAGGAGGATGAAGGTTTCTTTTAATTTAACTTTTTAGGTTGCAGAGAAATTCAGATAGGCCTATAGGCTACAATAACTTTATTGGGGATAAGTTTGTCAATACTTCCACTTTTTTCTTTCTAATGACAGAAGAAAATGCAGAATTTTAGCCTAAAACATGTATTTATCTAAATAATAAAATAATAAATAAAATGTATTATGATGAGCCTATGCTACAAAATGTGTAGCCTATAGGCCAGCGATCAACTAGATCTGCTGCGGGCTGTTTTTTTTCTTGAGTGGATCCTTGGGGGACCTGAACATAGTTACAAATAATTTGTAGACGGCAAATTGACTGCAAGAAGCCCAAACGGATATATTTTACTAAAACATACAGTGAGGGAAAAAAGTATTTGATCCCCTGCTGATTTTGTACGTTTGCCCACTGACAAAGAAATTATCAGTCTTTAATTTTAATGGTAGGTTTATTTGAACAGTGAGAGACAGAATAACAACAAAAAAATCCAGAAAAACGCATGTCAAAAATGTTAGAAATTGATTTGCATTTTAATGAGGGAAATAAGTATTTGACCCCCTCTCAATCAGAAAGATTTCTGGCTCCCAGGTGTCTTTTATACAGGTAACGAGCTGAGATTAGAAGCACACTCTTAAAGGAAGTGCTCCTAATCTCACCTTGTTACCTGTATAAAATACACCTGTCCACAGAAGCAATCAATCAATCAGATTCCAAACCCTCCACCATGGCCAAGACCAAAGAACTCTCCAATGATGTCAGGGACAAGATTGTAGACCTACACAAGGCTGGAATGGGCTACAAGACCATTGCCAAGCAGCTTGGTGAGAAGGTGACAACAGTTGGTGTGATTATTCGCAAATGGAAGAAACACAAAAGGACTGTCAATCTCCCTCGGCCTGGGGCTCCATGCAAGATCTCACCTTGGGAGTTGCAATGATCATGAGAACAGTGAGGAATCAGCCCAGAACTACTTGGGAGGATCTTGTCAATGATCTCAAGACAGCTGGGACCATAGTCACCAAGAAAACAATTGGTAACACATTACGCCATGAAGGACTGAAATCCTGCAGCAAATACATGGCCTTATGAAGTTTGCCACTGAACATCTGAATGATTCAGAGGAGAATTGGGTGAAAGTGTTGTGGTCAGATGAGACCAAAATGGAGCTCTTTGGCATCAACTCAACTCGCTGTGTTTGGAGAAGGAGGAATGCTGCCTATGACCCCAAGAACACCATCCCCACCGTCAAACATGGAGGTGGAAACATTATGCTTTGGGGGTGTTTTTGACATTACATTTACATTTACATTTACATCATTTAGCAGACGCTCTTATCCAGAGCGACTTACAAATTGGTGCATTCAACTTATGATAGCAAGTGGGACAACCACATTTTTACTTCTTCTTTTTTATAGGGGGGGTAGAAGGATGACTTTATACTATTCCAGGTATTCTTTAAAGAGGTAGGGTTTCAAGTGTCTCCGGAAGGTGGTCAGTGACTCCGCTGTCCTGGCGTCGTGGGGGAGCTTGTTCCACGATTGGGCTGCCAGAGCAGCAAATAGCTTTAACTGGGCTGAGCGGGAACTGTGCTTCTGTAGAGGTAGAGCGTTTTTCTGGATTTTTTTGTTGTTATTCTGTCTCTCACTGTTCAAATAAACCTACCATTTAAAATTATAGACTGATCATTTCTTTGTCAGTGGGCAAACGTACAAAATCAGCAGGGGATCAAATACTTTTTTCCCTCACTGTAATCATTTCAAACCTTGTTTACATTTGTATATGATCATGTTTACATTTGTATATGATCACGTCTCTCTATGTGTGGGAATACTTAGAAACAGATTTCTAAAATTAAAGTCTCTTTCAGCTGATTTCCTAGTGTTTTTAGTATTTTAGGTCCAACAGTGAAAATTGAAAAAAATATATATATACACACAAAAAAGTGTGTGTGGGGGGGAAACTACCCGCTTGGTCCGCAGGCTGCCAGTTGGGTAACCCTGCTATAGGCTAATAAAAAACGAATAGTGCTGTTTTTTCAGACTCGAGGGCTGAAGGTCCAATGCGCAACGGAAAAAGCATTTCCGTGTCTGTAATGCTATCCAAATGAGTTAGCTAAATAGAGGAAACGAGAAAAAGTAACTTTAAGTAAAGAAACGTGTATAACAGCACCATCAGTAAGACGACAGCATACAACTCTGCGACACATTTCCAACCCTTGCAAGGCGGAGGCGCATTGGAGTCTGGATCTGAACCAACTGATAATAATGGACAAGACTCCCACGTCAAGGTATCTGGACAGGCTAACGTATTGGACCGCTTGTGTGGGTGTGTGGGCATTCCCTGCCTGTACCGCGAATGATGCTTCCGCACGCAGATCAAGGCTGCAGAGACAGCCAGTGTGTGAGACCAGCAGTAACGCATCTCAGAGGCTGTCAGTGGACGCACCCGAGAGAGGCTCGCTCACCCGCCATGCGTAAAAGATACTTGAAGGACTTACTATTGAACAACTCGTCCAGTGGATTTGTGTTCTGTTTTCAAAAGGTTCCAGTGCGTCTTCAAGAGAAGTTGATGAGGAGGAGGATGTTTGGGCTCTGTACCCATGCAACACGGATGAATGGTGTCTGTTGTAGATGGAAACTATGAAACCATGATGGACTTTCTTTCCGAATAATCTAGCCTACTAACCAGGAAGGACTTTGTCAGTGGGTTTACAGTGCTACACTGGTTAGCCAACAGTGGCCAGGATGAGACACTAATGCAATTGTTAAGGCATGCTCAAAATGAGGGGATTCAAGTCAACGTGAATTTGAAGGGCAGAGGGGGGCTCACCCCTCTCCCCGTAGCTGCTATGTACATGGTAATTAAAATTCTAGTAGGTGCGTTCAGTGCCAATATCGATGCCATGGACTACAGTGGAAGGAGAGCGTGGCAATATCTGAAGGGCAACGCCCCAGAGGAGATGAAGGAGCTTCTTGGCACTTGGGACGATGCGCACGGTAGGGTGGGTCTGCAAAACACAACAGTGCGTGTGTAACGGTGTAATTAAATTGTTAAATTCCTGCATAAAATGGGTATTATGCCACCTCCTGGTAGATTAGTGTGTTTACATTGTCTAATACACTCAGTGAAAAAGGTAATGGATTCTGGGTAATCCACAGCAGATTTATGGAGAATTGCTGTGGGTGAGTAGAAAATGGAATGGTCCCGGGATAGAAATGTATAAAGTTGACATTACATCATAAAATCCACCTTTTACATCGTACATTAGCAATTTATGTTATTAGTAACTACTGTTGTTGGTTTGGCGTCAAATAAAACACTCTTTATATGTTATTTGCCGAATCTGTTTTCCATGTGGGTTTTATGCAAACTAATGTTCCCTCTTTGAAGTTGGTAGCTAACTCGAAAATGCGTCTTCTTTAGGAGTGCTATTTACATCCCGTCGACTACTGATCATTCATCCATACTGTGTGTGTCCCATCATTGCAGGTAATTTGTGACAAATGTATAAAGTGTATGTTTTATAAACTCATGATTAGGAAAATGTGGTACATTCTAGGTGTATTATATTTATTCGCAGAAGAGTGTGACATTGAGTAATTTCAGGTTAATTTGGATATATTTTGAATACTAAAATGGATTATAGTTTATTCTTATGTTGTAAATATGAGATTACACAGGGAAACAATGTATTTATTTGTATTATAGTAAATTGGGAATTATTAGAAATGGTTAAATCGACTAGCGGCACAGGTCCTAATCCAGGCACTTGTCATCTCCCGTCTGGATTACTGCAACTCGCTGTTGGCTGGGCTCCCTGCCTGTGCCATTAAACCCCTACAATTTATCCAGGACGCTGCAGCCCGTCTGGTGTTCAACCTTCCCAAGTTCTCTCATGTCACCCCGCTCCTCCGCACACTCCACTGGCTTCTAGTTGAGGCTCGCATCTACTACAAGACCATGGTGATTGCCTACGGAGCTGTGAGGGGGGAACGGCACCTCCTTACCTTCAGGCTCTGATCAGACCCTACACCCAAACGAGGGCACTACGTTCATCCACCTCTGGCCTGCTAGCTCCCCTACCTCTACGGAAGCACAGTTCCCGCTCAGCCCAGTCAAAGCTATTCGCTGCTCTGGCACCCCAATGGTGGAACAAGCTCCCCCACGACGCCAGGACAGCGGAGTCACCTGACCACCTTCCGGAGACACTTGAAACCCTACCTCTTTAAGGAACACCAGTATGATACATGGCTGGCAAATGTTGGGGATAAAATACATTTACTTGCACTGGAAGCTTTTAAAACATTTCATACACGCATTTCCAGAGTAAAGGATGTATTAAGTTTAGAAACAACCAAATGTCTTGCTTCGCAAACCTTTTATTGTTAAACACGCGCATAATTAGAGTATTTGTACATTAAGACTGCCGTTCCAGACATTTCTATTGTTTTTTTTGTTAGAATATTATACAGCAGATTTATGGAGAATTGCTGTGGGAGTGCTATTTATATCCTGTCAACTACTGATCATTCATCCATACTGTGTGTGTCCCATCATTGCAGCTTTGGAAATAAATTAACTATCCATCCATTGCTCCTTCCTGTGTTGAATCACTGATTTGAGGGACTGGACCAGGAAGGTCACACCTGCAGTGCCACACTAGTGCCCAAATCAGAATGAAGTGATGAGGAGAGAGACGATCCAGTCTACTTTGATCGGACTCGGAGGAATGGCAGATGGCGAGGGTCATTTCAAAAGTTGTTTTCCCCATTCTTGTCTTTTGTGGAAAAAAATTTAAGGTCAGATGGCCACACAAATGTACACTGCTCAAAAAAATAAAGGGAACACTTAAACAACACAATGTAACTCCAAGTCAATCACACTTCTGTGAAATCAAACTGTCCACTTAGGAAGCAACACTGATTGACAATACATTTCACATGCTGTTGTGCAAATGGAATAGACAACAGGTGGAAATTATAGGCAATTAGCAAGACACCCCCAATAAAGAAGTGATTCTGCAGGTGGTGACCACAGACCACTTCTCAGTTCCTATGCTTCCTGGCTGATGTTTTGGTCACTTTTGAATGCTGGCGGTGCTTTCACTCTAGTGGTAGCATGAGACGGAGTCTACAACCCACACAAGTGGCTCAGGTAGTGCAGCTCATCCAGGATGGCACATCAATGCGAGCTGCGGCAAGAAGGTTTGCTGTGTCTGTCAGCGTAGTGTCCAGAGCATGGAGACGCTACCAGGAGACAGGCCAGTACATCAGGAGACGTGGAGGAGGCCGTAGGAGGGCAACAACCCAGCAGCAGGACCGCTACCTCCGCCTTTGTGCAAGGAGGAGCAGGAGGGGCACTGCCAGAGCCCTGCAAAATGACCTCCAGCAGGCCACAAATGTGCATGTGTCTGCTCAAACGGTCAGAAACAGACTCCATGAGGGGGGTATGAGGGCCCGACGTCCACAGGTGGGGGTTGTGCTTACAGCCCAACACCGTGCAGGACGTTTGGCATTTGCCAGAGAACACCAAGATTGGCAAATTCGCCACTGGTGCCCTGTGCTCTTCACAGATGAAAGCAGGTTCACACTGAGCACATGTGACAGACGTGACAGTCTGGAGACGCCGTGGAGAACGTTCTGCTGCCTGCAACATCCTCCAGCATGACCGGTTTGGCGGTGGGTCAGTCATGGTGTGGGGTGGCATTTCTTTGGGGGGCCGCACTGCCCTCCATGTGCTCGCCAGAGGTAGCCTGACTGCCATTAGGCACTGAGATGAGATCCTCAGACCCCTTGTGAGACCATATGCTGGTGCGGTTGGCCCTGGGTTCCTCCTAATGCAAGACAATGCTAGACCTCATGTGGCTGGAGTGTGTCAGCAGTTCCTGCAAGAGGAAGGCATTGATGCTATGGACTGGCCCGCCCGTTCCCCAGACCTGAATCCAATTGAGCACATCTGGGACATCATGTCTCGCTCCATCCACTAACGCCACGTTGCACCACATACTGTCATCAGGAGCATGCCCAGGCGTTGTAGGGAGGTCATACAGGCACGTGGAGGCCACACACACTACTGAGCCTCATTTTGACTTGTTTTAAGGACATTACATCAAAGTTAGATCAGCCTGTAGTGTGGCTTTCCACTTTAATTTTGAGGGTGACTCCAAATCCAGACCTCCATGGGTTGATACATTTGATTTCCATTGATAATTTTTGTGTGGTTTTGTTGTCAGCACATTCAACTATGTAAAGAAAAAAGTATTTAATAAGATAATTTCATTCATTCAGATCTAGGATGTGTTGTTTAAGTGTTCCCTTTATTTTTTTGAGCAGTGTATATATTTGTATATGTCTTTATCACGAGTCACATTGATCGTGGTTTGTAAAGACTTTCACGCGTTTGCGCTTTTATGGACAGTAGGCTAGGCTACTTGTCGAATAACCAATCTGATTATGGGCAGCACAGCAGTGGAACTGTTTTTTGCACACAAAAATAGTATTGTTTTAGGCTTTAATCTTTAGAACTGACTGTATGTAACAATTTCTTTCATTAAATAAACAGTTTTATTTAATTTATTGAAGGCATGTACAAGTGTGCTCTTTGATACACAGGGTTTCTACACCAAAAATTAGTTGATATGCTGAAATTGTATAAACTTTCTTGAAACACTAATTGTGACACTTCCTGCAGGTCATGTAAGCAAGTGCTACAGAACTATATTTAAGCAATAAGGCCCGAGGTGGTGCGGTATATTTACATTTGAGTAATTTAGCAGACGCTCTTATCCAGAGCGACTTACAGTTAGTGAGTGCATACATTTTCATATACCACGGCTAAGGGCTGTTATTGTGCAGGACACAACGTGGAGTACCTGGATAAAGCCCTTACATATTGTCCATACACTGTATACCATAAAATCCTGAGGTGCCCTATTGCGATTATAAACTGGTTACCAACGTAATTAGACCAGTAAATAGTACTTTTGTTTTGTCATACCCAAGGTATACGGTCTGATATACCACAGCTTTCAGCATTCAGGGCTCGAACAAACCAATTTATGATGATAAAACACACACACCCAACAGTAGTGAAAAGGGCAAGACAACGCCTCTTCCCTCAGGAGGCTGAAAAGATTTGGCATGGGCCCTCAAAGTTCTACAGCTGCACCATTGAGAGCATCTTGACTGTATCACCGCTTGGTATGGCAACTGCTTGGCATCGACCGCAAGGCACTCCAGAGGGTAGTGCGTGCAGCCCAGTACATTACATAACTGGGGCTGAGCTCTCTGCCAGGCTGTGTCAGAGGAAGGCCCTAAAAATTGTCAGACTCCAACTACCCAAGTCACAGACTGTTCTCTCAACAGGACTCTGAACAGCTTCTCTCAACACATAAAACTGCTAAATAGTTAACGAAATAGCTACCAGGACCATCTGCATTGACCCCTTTTGCGCCAACTCGACTCATCACATACGCTACGGTTACTGCTTATCTATCCTGTTGCCTAGTCACTTTACCCCTACCTAAATGTACATATATCTACCTCAATTACCACGTACCTCTGCAAAGTTATCATTACTCATTTATTGCTCTGCATTGTTTGGAAGGGCCCATAAATATAAAACATTTCACCGTTAGTCTACACCCGTTTACAGAGCATGCAACAAATTACATTTAATACATAAAAAATGAACAATTGTACTTGGGGTGTTAGTCATTTGATAGGATTATATAAAAACATAACACCAATCTTTGCTTCTATTACACACTTTGGTTCCTTTCGATTGAACATTTAACACGTCGGCCCATTACTAATTAGATTGGGCTTCCAATATTAATGTTTCCGTGAAGTCTGAATCACTGCATAATTTCTCACTTAAGTTAATGCATTTATGTAGTCTAGAGGTTTTTAGTGCACAAAAAGCATTGCACCATTTCCTCGCCCTGCAGAAAGACTGCACAACGTTCCCTCTGGTGGAGCAGAGTAGAATAATCTGACCATTCCACACTTTCAGAAGATCATATATCTCTTACTAGCTTAAATTTGGGTTTATACCAAGTAAAGATTCTAAAGTGAATCTGAATCCTCAACAAATTACATTGACAGGGTGACTAGTTAGTAATTTAGTCAATGCCCAGTGACCCTACTGGAGTGTGATGCCTTCCTGTAATCTAATGTAGAGCTTTGCGCCCTGACATAAAGTAGGTAACACCAGTATGATACATGGCTGGCAAATGTTGGGGATAAGAGACACTTACTTGCACTGGAAGCTTTTAAAACATTTCATACACGCATTTCCAGAGTAAAGGATGTATTGAGTTTAGAAACAACCACATTTCTTGTTTTGCAAATCTTTTATTGTTAAACACGCGCATAACCAGAGTATTTGTACATAAAGACTGCCGTTCAAGATAGCGTGGCTTCCTCTCCAGGTCCCAGCAGGTGGAAGATGCTGTTGATGCTGGAAATCTGAAGACCTGTGCATTTACAAGCCCAGCTTGGTCCTCCTCCAGTGTCTCCTCTTTGAGTTGTACCTGGAACACAGTGAAACCAGAAATGGCTCAGACTAATAACTAGCACAAGCAATCTCAATGGTGGCATTAGTTCAAAATCCATTCAAAGGCCATAGTAGACTGTTTGTATTTGGGCTTGTTAAGTTGTAAACACCATATTGTTTCTGTACAATTTATCTGAGCAGATGCATAAATCCAATGAAAGTCGTTTCACAAGACCAGAGAATACTGATTAACTGCATTTGACTGAAAATCTGTTGAGTCTGAAGGTAAAGCATATAATTCCAATGCCGTTTATTCCATTTGCTCAAAAGCAAGGAAATGATGCCAAGCAGAAAGAATACATCCACAATATGGGAGCGGGGGGGGGTGATGTAAGCCCCAACATGGCAAAAAGTCATCCAAACATACTATTTGATAAGAACCACATTACCTCAGTCAGTGCTCTAGACTAACTTTTTCGCACTTGCGGCACTGTTGCTACCAACTTTCAGTTGATGGCACCAGCACGTGATTGGGCGCACCAATTTTGGGGCGATAATGACCTGACCAGTGTCCCATAACGTACCTGCATTCCATAGAACCAGGCTAATAATGATTAGCCATCTTTTAAAGTAGCATGCCCTTGCAGGGCTTAACATTAAAAGTAAATTTGTCACTGGCACACCGGGCCAGTACCAACTGAAAGCTACTGGCCCGAATGAAAAGAATACTGGCCTGGGAAAACTGATGATAATTTAAAATGTTCTTTAAAATTTGCGGGCAGAGCATGTAACATATAACAACCTACCCTCCATACACAAATAATTACACATAACAATATCATATCTACATTGTTTGAAAGAAAAAACAACTTTTGCCAATCTCAAAAAAGGGTGTTATTGCTAGCGATTTTGAACAGTCAATCTACAGTTGTAGAGCAAAAATCTGGTTTTATATTTTGGTAAAATCTGTTTTCCCGGTTTCAGGTTCCTTTTCAAACGTTTTTTGCAAAACTACAGAATTGTGATGCTCAAAGTCCACAACGCTTAAACTACATCAGAAGAACACTTTTGAGGTCTGAACAATTCATTAAAAAACAGGGAGAGTGTAGTTGCCCTTTAATTCAATTGTGATCCTAGCAAGAGACTGTTGTGTTAGGCTAGTAGTGTTTTTGGACTGTACAATGTAGGCTACATGTGATGGCAGTTAGCAAAACAAATGCCCCGTGATTGATACAGATCATGATATCATTCTGACAGGCAGGCCTACTTTGCAGTCAACAATTCAATTTTTGGGAAGGAAAGCCATTAGAAATGTATTTAAACAGCGCATGATGAATGAATTGCGCATCACAAATATTCAACCAAGACCTCAGACCAAACTTCAAATACCTGGTCTGCACACCCATTGCTGTTTGAATATATATAAGTGTGAACTAAAACTGACACCCTAATTAAAAGTGTCACACTGTCATGTCAAAGGGTCGCAGCTTTGAGCCCTGTCAGTAGACAGCTATGATACTGTAGTCAATTGCACTGTCACTACTAAAGAGAATCCCCATCACAGGTGATGTGACCAGGTGTAAACTCCAAAGCAGAATGTTACTCTCAGCAGGATTAATGACAGCACTCCCACTGATTGGAGCACTGTAATTGCAGACCTGCTTTAGATGGTCAGAGCATCCATTCAGTACTAGTTAATGTTACACCATTTTATGCACTGTACAGGGGGATAGTGGGGATGCTAGGCTTGTAACTACACACATACCTGATCTTATTGCCAGTCTTCATTCTGATCCACTGTGGGATGGGCCTGTTCTGCTTCTGTTTCTTGGCGAGAAAGCGCTTGATCCTGAAAGTCTTGTGGGACGACTGAAATAAAGAGATGGGGCCGTGTTAGTTAACTAGGGTAACATACATCACATGTAAACCTACATTTCCTTCATCATGGCATGCTTAACTGACGTTTTAGGTAAGCATACCAACTAAGCTAACTCTTTGCACTTCCGTTACCGGTAGATGATTATAGGCAGAAAAATATGTTGAGGGCAGGAAGTCTACTTCCAGAACTCAAGTAAATTTCCTGGACAAACCGGTTTGGTCCACACGCTACTAAAACGTTACTTTTTAGGGATTCAATACTTGTATTGGAGACAATATAAAGGCTATCGGTGTTGCCGTTAAAACCACTTTATGCAAATGCCATGAACAATTATGCATTTCACTGATGTAGACAAGGATGTTATAAGATTTCACCTTACCATTTTGTCCGCAGTCCTTACACCACAATGGCGGAGGCCGAAGAGAAAGAACGAGGGGAAGCGTTGGTGACGTAGGCAATCCCAACCAATCAGAGTGTAGGAAAGTATTGCACTACGCGCACACAGCGTCATCAAGTGGACCCCTCCCGCATTGCATCAACATGAAGTTTCTGTACCACTTGAAGATTTTGTCTTAAAACCAATCTGGTGTAATGAATAAATCCCATACACAATTTAGAACAATATTTTTTTTTATTGCGCTCATTTCTAACTCTTGTTGAGCAAGGCTACATCAATCATGAAACAGAAAAAAATATAAGGTATAGATGTTTATTCCAATTAGAATTTCGTTACCATACTGTAGCATTATGTATGTATGAAGATGTATGAGTACAATGGGGAAGGCCACAAGTTAATAGTCACACATTAGGGGTTGCTTGCAGTCTCAAGTCAAGGCATAGCTCACAGTTCTATATTTCGCTTGTGCCCTTGAGCAAGGCACTTAACGCTAATTGCTCCTGTAAGTCGCTCTGGATAAGAGCATCTGCTAAATGACTAAAAATGTAAAATAAATGAAATGGCTATTTAATTATCCTGAATTTTTTTACCTGTACAGAGTATTAAGGACTTGTTGGGGAAATAGAAAACACACTTTTAAATGTATAAACCTAAAAAGGTGGTTAGATTTTGAAAGAAGCAACCGGATATATTTAAACCAGTAGCCTCCTACACTGTTCCTAAAATAGAAAACATGTATGTGAAACTGTTTTTATGTATGAACAACTAATGAGGGTGAAAGCCTATTCAATATAAGAACCGTGCTTCGCAAATGTGTAACACAGACTGTGTAGCAATACTGTAGTAAGGTCACTTTAAATTCATGTGGTCCTAGAGCGTTGGCTTTGTCTCGTTGCACCCTATAGCCGAACTCTCGCAAACATTAAAGTGCTAACTTTCCCTTGCTTTTCTCCATAAACAAAACTAAAAGAGGGGCACCTTCAGGCACTGAGGTCACATCCTTGCCTATGGTTGGGAGTGGGAGGACGGGATGTGGCTCTGCAGGAGTACCACTGCAGCAGCCTCTCTGGCACCAGCTTGCTTGGCTCAGAGCAGATCCCTCTCCTCAATCGTTTTATCATTCTTTATTTGTGGTAATTTTTGATCATTCATCTCCCTTCTCTTGGTCTCGCTCTGACTTTCTCTCCCCAGCATGAGATTCTCCTCCTCCTCCTCCTCCTCCTCCTCGGTTCCTGGCACCTGGCTGGTATAGCTGAACGGCAGGCCGATCCTGATGCACAAGGGAATGAAATGGCTGTGGTTAAGAGACTAAAAAAAAAGACAAAAGTATTAAGAAATGTGATCAGATCAACATAGGAAATCAAGAGAAAATTGTACAAATGTAATAGAGTATCCCGATTACCCCAAGGAATTGATTAGGAAAAATGTGTATTTGACTATATACCAAGAAAGACTGAAGTTATTACCTTGTTTCTTAAACGATCTCTTTTAGCTTTCTCCTCCCTCAGGGTTTCTTCTGACTTTTTAGGCTTATCAGTATGGCTTGCGGAGTTCCCGGCATTCTCGCCCTTTCTCCTTTCCCAGACATGATCTCCTTTCTCCTTTCTCCCTTCTTCCTCTCGCTTTCTGTAGGACTTCTCTCCATCGCGCCGTTCCCTCCTCCTTCGTCGATCCTCGTCTTGTCGTCTGATGCGCTCCTTCTCTTTCTGCCGCTGCTCCCTCTCCTTGTCTCGTTCGCGGTCCCTGTCCCTGTCTACGTCACGCTCTCTGAAGTCTTTGTGTCCATCTTCAGCTCTGAAAGACAAGCACATTTACATGAATACAATATAAGCCTTTACATTAAAGACCTGTAACATCTCTGAGAAGAATGGTGGTGACCCCTCACTTCCATGATAACCTATCCTCCCTGGTTTCGTGGTTTTGGCGTTTCTTCATATCAGGACCCCCAGGAGCTCTGTCGTCTTTCATCTTGTCCTTCTCAGGGTTCTTTGACTTCTCTTTAGGCTTCTCAACATCCACGTCATCTCCTCTGTCTGGTTTTCTCAGGAGCTGAACAGAGAGACAAAACGCATAACCAACATGAAAAGAGCAGTCTTATTCTGCTACAATCTCTTCGGAATCACCTGTATCATCATGCAGTCGAGTAGTTTGACAGGATTTCTTCTCCTTTCCATACCTTGATTTTTGGCCCCTCCTTCCCTTGGTCTTTATCCTTCTCGGAAGATTTGTCTCCTTTCTTGAACTTCTCGGCTTCTTTGCGCTTCCTCCTGTCCTCCTCCCTCCACTTCCGACGTTCCTCGTCCCGCAGGCGCTTCCGTTCGAGCTCTCGTCTCCTCCTTTCCTCTTTCTTTTCCTCACGGATTCTCTGACCATCAGCAGACAAAAGCCACATGAATAGTCTATCCAGCCTCATATACCATGCAAGAACACAGCTAAAATACATACCTGTTTGTTCTTTAAGAAGTCCAAGAGGGGAGTCATTTTCTTAGCTAAAGGGGGAAAAATTTGTAAAATCATGCCTCATCTATTACCGAAATATCCCTTTCGCAGGGAACACTACTTGATTTCATATTGACACTCATCTAGAGTGTTTCAACTGGCTTTGATTTCAACCAAATGTAACCAGAAAATATGTTTACCTCCATGTTTACATACCTACTAGTTCCTTTGTTTTAGCCTCAATTTCCTCCAGTAGAGTCTCGGGGGTGGATGTAAACTTTTCATCAGCGCCATTATAAATCTCCAGGAAATTTCTTGTAGTCAGCATCTAAAAGAACAAACTGTGTTGTAGCCTTGCTAGAGCTAGATGATCTAAATGGTGTGCAATTGCAAACAACCGTAAAATGACTCATGTAACATTTTCACCTTCATCTATTGTTCCACTTTTACCATCCTTTTTCTTACTCCTTTTTTTGGCAATCTTTTGAAAAGGAGCAAATTCAACAATGGCTGGATACTCCTGCCCTGTTAAACAAAATAAGCCACAGCATTAACACACACACAAGGCAATCAGAAGCTGCTGCTATATGTAGGCTAATATTGCGTGGTGGTTATTAGTTCTAAGATATTGGTGCTTTTTGAGGTCAGTTCGGTTTCAGTTCGATTATTAAAAAATTATCACGGTTTTCCATTTTGATAATTAAAAACATTAAATGCATTATGAAATTCAATTATTTTAGATATTTTAAATTGAAATTCCTAAGCCAAAAATAGTTAACATTAAATTGCCAAAACATTGAAAAATAGGAAATTACTATGGAAGAATACAATATTTCAGTTATGTATATAACTTATTTTTTATTTGATGACTATTTTTAATTCCTTAAAGTCATCATCTCATCTCTGCTCAGGCAGTAGCAGCCAGCCAGCACCGACCATCTAATGCAATCTCTGTCTGTGCTCCCCATACTGTACTGTCTTTAGTCATCTTATTTAGCTAGGCTAGCCTGTGTACGTATGCTGCAGAGCTGTCTGACGAAATATTTGTACTATTTCTTTAAAGTAGATAAGGCATACTTTCACAAACTGTCTCTCTCCCTCTTCGTTGTGTACATTCCGCTCTCATGCGGTCTGTGTCTATGTAACCTAACATAGCAGGTGTAAAAGTGTATCTGTCACCGTCCGAGCCGGAAAAAACAGGCACAATGGATTATGGTCATTGTAGTTAATTACCACATTTCTGCGCTGAGCTAGGTTGAATATTTGCTTGATGAAAACTACAACTCCTCAGCCCTGCATCCCGAATAGTTTGACATAATTTTCTCATGAATGATTTGATTTCTCTAGAGAAACGGTACGTTGGGCTCACAAAAAAACTAAATGGAATTAAAGTAATTTAACAGACATCAGTCAATTAGTTGTTTAATAACCGGGGAAAAAATTTAATGTTGGTTAATGCTCAGCACTATTATTAGACGTCAATATCTTATTTAAATAAAATGTATCACACCTCCATTATCAACGAACACATATCCATCAAACCGGTCTCTGAAAAGTACAATATCTTCCTGAATCTTGAAATTGATGTATGCTCTGGCGAAGACGTGGGGGTACATGCTGTATAGAAGAAAAACTAAGTAAGTAACCAGGGTACCAAATATGTGATTCTGACAGACAATGGTTCATCAACAGTAGACTATACGCACCTGCTGTCATTGGCGAAAAATTCTAGGTAGTCCACTTCTGGAAGTGGCTGCAATTGTTCCTCCAGTTCCTCCTTGGTTATGCTTGGAGGCAGACGTCGGATAATGATCTGTGGAAAAAAAATAGGCACTCAAATTTTAACTTATTAAGAGAATATCCAAGTCAGATTGTTAAAATAGCAGTTTAAGCTTCTAAGTGTTGGTTAACTTAACGGTAACTAGCTAACTTACTTAGCTAGTTTAGCTGGCTGTAACAGGTTCACTAACTTAGACATGTCTGTTAACGTTACTCTTCAATAGGCAACATTCAAAAGATAACTAGCCAAGTTCAATTAAAAAAAGTTCAATTACAGGCTAATCACGCCTGATTTACTAGTTAGCAAGCAGGAGTAGCTAGCCAAGTTAAATCCGTGTAGCTAGCTAGCTGCTTTGGCTTAGCTAGCTAACTGTCTACAGTAGCTGGCGTAACGTTACCTTCGTCATTGCTTCTTTCTTCTCCGGCTTTGGCTTCTCCGTTTTTTCAATGTTTTCGCATTTTATCTCCATCCTTTCCTCCATCGGACGAGTGTTTTCCTTGTCCTCTTTCATATTTATGCCATAAACTTGTAGCAATCTGCAGACCTGTATAAACGTTTTTGATTGCTAACTTGCTGCTAGTTCCTTCTCTCAGTCAACAACAAAAACCGGTTGTTGATTGGCTGCTGGGAGAGACGTTCTGCGACACTTGAAAGTGTGTTGCGTCAGTGATGGGGTGGTGTCCACTAGTTACCATAGCCACAAAGTCAAAATTGGCTATATCGTAAAAATGATTGAAAACTAAAAATAGCTTTTTGGTCTTAATTTAAGGTTAGGCATAAAGTTATCAGTGTGGTTAGGTTTTAAATCGAAATTTAATTTGAGACATTTGAGAAATAGGCGGGATTTCTTACTTGGTGGCTGTGGTAACTAATGACAACTAGTGACGACCGTGTGGGGGGGTCGATTGGAAACAATGTGGTTTACTTTGGCCACAAATATTTAAATATAAGACAGTGGATACATAGTACCAAGCAGTGGCGGCTCCTGAAAAAATTCTCAGGGGGGGCAATTTTTCTGATGATTTAGGTGACCTACACACATTTTAAAAAAGATATGTCCAGCAACAACATGAAGACAGGGGCAGCATATAAGTCAATGCCAGAAGCATTTATTGACTGATCTCAAAAGTGTTGGCTTACAAAAGCAAAATAAGTTATCACAGTAAAAATAATCAAGGGTGTTCTTTCACATTCCTCAACACTGCATAAACAATATGCATTTCCATAAACAAATGAAATATCAGCTGAAAATACAGCATCTTGGTATTTGTTCAGATTGCAGGATCAACAAGAGCTTTTACCACATTTTTTGCCTCATGGTTGAATTGGAAATATGTGCACCTGAGCATAATTCACAACAAGCAAGCAGGAGCTTTTGATAGAGGCTACTGAAAACATTGATGCAAGTTATTGGTAATAAGAAATTTTTATAGACTTCCATATTCTGCCCTCTTGTATAGATTTGTGAAAATGAACAGTGATAGACATTTTGCCTGAAAACAGAATTTGAAAATAATTTCTAGAAAAGGTAAACACAGCTATCTGTATGGCTTTGTAAAAATGAACAACCATATTCTGGCCAATTGTATAGATTTGTAAATATGAACAACCATATTCTGGCCAATTGTATAGATTTGTAAAAATGAACATGAACAGATTATATATATTTTTTTACATTTAAAAAAATGAAAAATAACTATTTTAAACAACATCAACTGTGAACTGATTTGGGCGTGTGTATGTTAAAGAGACAGACAGGGAGGGACAAAGAGAGAGAGAGGCTACATTACTTGTACTGAAACTGTTCTCTTCTCTCTTTCAATGCAGCAAAGCGGTCAATGACTTTCTCATTGAAATCAGGCATGCTGAGGACTAGTTCCCTCTCCATGGAAAGCATGGCCAGTGCATTCAGACGTTCCTGGCCCATTGAATTTCGCAGGAATGTCTTAACTCGTGTCAAAGTTGAGAAACATCTCTCAGCTTCAGCTGTTGTCATGGGAGTAGTTATGAGGATGTTCAACAGAGTCACAGTCTCAGAGAACGTCTCCTGGAGGTTGTAGCTCATGAGAACCTGGTACAGTGCCAGTGCACCACAGTTTGACTTTCACGTCGTCGGCAAAAAGACCGTTCAGTCTCTCCAAAAGCACACTGGCGATTGAGACTGAGGTTGATTCCGAGATGGGAAGGAACTCAAAAAAGCGCTCCTGCACTTTGTGGTTGCTATCTATGTACCTCAGCACAAGCACCAGCTGTGTCTGTGTAGAAACGTCCGTGGTCTCGTCAGCTTGGATAGCTACGAAGTTCGCCGACTTCACCTCCTCCACAATATGTTCCCTCATGACCGCTAGCATACACTCCAGTAGCTCGTTTTGAATGGTCTTTGATGTGAACTTCTTTCAAAGAGACAATCGAGTTGCACTGAACGCTAGCCATGTTGATAGTAGTACGTGAATTGATTGACGCTGCTACCCGCTCTTTTCTTAGTTACGTTCATGGTTATGTTACGTATGACGAAAGCGCGTAAGTGCAAGCCCTCAGAAACCCATAGAGATTGTATTGAAAGCTCTGATATTTGAAAAAAAAAGATTTTACATGATAGTCTATGAGAGACCCCTGGGCGATTTTCAACCTGACTGAAATCGCCCCAAAAGGGGCGGGCCATTTGAAGCACGACTTTAGCCTGATTGGACATTTAGTGGCAGATCAGACGTCTAGATTAGAACACTGATAACTACTGTTGCCGTCAGGGGCGGCCTGTTCAATAGGGCGATATGGGCGACGCACTGCCAAACGGGAAAAGGAAGGGATTTTTTTTCTAATCAATTATATCACGGCAACAGTAGTTATCAGTGTTGTAATCTATACGTCTGATCTGCCACAGTGCCACACTGCCACTAAATGTCGAATCAGGCTAAAGTCGTGCTTCAAATGGCTCCCCCCCCCTTTTGGGGCGATTTCAGTCAGGTTGAAAATCGCCCAGAAGTCTCTCATAGCCTCTAATGTAAAATCTATTTTTTTCAAATTTCAGAGCCTTCAATACAATCTCTATGGGTGTCTGAGGGCTTGCACTTACGCGCTTTCGTCATACGTAACGTAACGTAACCATGAACGTAACTGAGAAAAGAGCGGATTGTGTCTTTGAAAGAAGTTCCTTTTTGTCGGCGAACAAATGAAGATAAATTGGCAACGAAACAATTAGGACCTCCCAGACCAAATTTAATAATTCAACAGGTTTCTACTAAAGGCGGAAAGTCCTACACCCGAGGATTTTCAAAAAATTGGTACGAACGGAAAAAGAACATTGCCACTCAACTTGATGAGGGAATGGGATACAGGCTAGCTGTCCGCCGCCACAACGATGAGGTTAGTGTTGATAATCACAAGTTTACTGGAGAACTGAGACCAAGTAGAGACTTTGGACAGGGTGGATATGGTATAATAAAGGCAGTTTATTCAGAGGTAAAGATATCTGGAATCGCGTGCACGGACCCGTTCGTCAAACTCTTAGGGAGCTATAAATTAAGCCCCATTACTTACCATATCAGATAAGAGAAATTGCTGCAGCTACATATATTTTACATCCTGGCCCTACATAGTTCACTATTTGCATCACTTACCAAAATATTACATGTGGTCATATATGCTTGGAAAGTGGAGATGCCATAGAACGTCAAAAAAGTAAACATTGCTGGAGACACATTGCCGTTTTGGAGAAGACATCGCGTTTGCTAGCGAAGAGATTTGTTGTGGCAAATGAACTTGGGCTGGGAATTGCCAGGAACCTCACGATAAGATATATGCATCAGCATTGCGAGTCTCATGATTCTATACGTATTGCGATTCGATACTGTGATTTTATTGCGCACCATATGTCTGTTGCAGAGGGATCAGAAAGCCATGAGAACGAGTTTTGATCAGTCATGGAAATAAAAGTGCTGAAAACAAATTGGCTCCCAATGTGAAAAGATTGAGAACAAGCTATGAAGGAACAATAATGGTGTTTTGGTGCAGGTACAGCCAACTAGCGCTAAAATATTGCGATATTGTCAATACAGTATATCGTAAAGTATCACTATGTAACTCGATTTCTTTCACCCCAATCCCTCAAATTAACGGTAAATAACTGAATTGTTTGCCCCACATTTAGCTAAGATGATTAGCTAGCCAGCTAAAATGTTTTATTTAGTTAGCAGTCGCATCTACAATAGTTTACTGTCAATAACATGTCTCCAAAAATGACGTGGTGTCTCCAATTGTGTTGACATTTTACAATTGCGATGCGCATCCATGAGTATCCACTTTCTGTAGCTCAGCTGGTAGAGCATGGCGCTTGTAACGCCAAGGTAGTGGGTTCGATCCCCGGGACCACCCATACACAAAAATGTATGCACGCATGACTGTAAGTCGCTTTGGATAAAAGCGTCTGCTAAATGGCATATTATTATTATTATTATTATTATCTGAAGAGAGCCCCGAAACATTGTGTGCAGACATTTTATGCAATAAATGAAGTAGGTTGAATCTAGTAGTTCTGATCTTCTGATTGGTCCTGATGAGTTGGGCGAGGTCCCCTCCAGGCTACTGTCACTGTTGCATTGGCTCTGAGTCGGGTTCTCTGTCTTCAAATGTTCAGCCTAAGAGAGGGGATTTTTGTGTGTGTGTGTGTGTGTGTGTGTTTAACAGTGATGATGTGTGTGTGTGTGTGTGTGTGTGTGTGTGTTTAACAGTGATGATGTGTGTGTGTGTGTGTTTGTGTGTGTGTGTGTGTGTGTCCTCAGAGCAAGAACTCGTGAGTTGGAAGAACTGAGAGGCCTATGGCGTGGGTGTTGTCCTTGGCCACCTGCTGACAAGGCTGACAAGATAGGACCCTTTTGTCCATTGTTATTGGATAGGAACAGAACTTATAACCAGCTCCTGACCTAAATAGATCTTAGCACAACATTTTACTCAACATATCATATTCCATATTCACTATAACAAATATATTTACTACGACATTAGCAAGAACCGCCACATCCTCAGCCGGCTAATCCAGTGTGTGAAGTTTTGCGGAGTGTTTGAGTTAGCTTTGCGAGGCAAAGATGAAACTGAGGGCTCCACCAACCCTGGTAAGCCAACACTTTTGAGATCAGTCAATAAATGCTTCTGGTATTGACTTATATGCTGCCCCTGTCTTCATGTTGTTGCTGGACATATCTTTTTTTAAATGTGTGTAGGTCACCTAAATCATCAGAAAAATTGCCCTCCCTGAGAAATTTTTCAGGAGCCGCCACTGGTTGCCGTGATATAATTGATTAGAAAAAAAATCCCTTCCTTTTCCCGTTTGGCAGTGCGTCGCCCATATCGCCGTAATGAACACACCGCCCCTGGTACCAAGTAAATAACAGCAGTGTAGGTGTAAGTACACTGAATAAAAATATAAACGCAACATTTCAAAGATTTTACTGAGTTAGTTCAAATAAGGAAAATCAGTCAATTGAAATAAATAAATTAAGCCCTAATCTATGGATCACATGACTGGGAATACAGATATGCATCTGTTGGTCACAGATACCTTAAAAAAAAAAAAGTGTGGATCAGAAACCCAATCAATTTCTGGTGTGACCACCATTTGCAATGTGACACATCTCCTTCATATAGAGTTGATCAGGCTGTTGGTTGAGGCCTGTAGAATGTTGTCCTACTCCTCTTCAATGGCTGTGCAAACTTGCTGTATATTAACTGGAACAAACTGTTGTACGCGTCGATCCAGAGCATCCCAAACGTGCTTAATGGGTGACATGTCTGGTGAGTATGCAGGACATGGAAGAATGGGACATTTTCAGATTCCAGGAATTGTGTACAGATCCTTGTGACATGGGGCTGTGCATTATCATGCTAAAGCATGAGGTGATGGAGGCAGATGAATGGCACAACAATGGGCCTCAGGATCTGTCATGGTATCTCTGCGTATTCAAATTGCCATCAATAAAATGCAATTGTGTTTGTTGTCCATAGCTTATGCCTGCCCATACCATAACCCCACCACCACGGGGCACTCTGTTCACAACGTTGACATCAGCAAACCGCTCACCCACACAACCCAATAAACACTCTGCCATCTCCCCGGTACAGTTGAAACCGGGATTCATCCGTGAAGAGCACACTTCTCCAGCGTGCCAGTGACCATCGAAGGTGAGCATTTGCCCACGGAGGTCGGTTGTGACGCCGAACTGCAGTCAGATCAAGACCCTGGTGAGGACGACGAGCACGCAGATGAGCTTCCCCGATTCGGTTTCCGACAGTTTGTGCAGAAATTCTTCATTGTGCAAACCCACAGTCTCATCAGCTGTCTGGGTGGCTGGTCTCAGACCATCCGGCAGGTGAAGAAGCCGGATGTGGAGGTCCTGGGCTGGCGTGGTTACACGCGGTCTGCGGTTGTGAAGCCGGTTGGACGTACTGTCAAATTCTCTAAAACGATGTTGGAATGGATTTATGGTAGAGAAATGAACATTACATTATCTGGCAACAGCTCTGGTGGACATTCCTGCCAATTGCACACTCCCTCAAAACTTGACACATCTGTGGCATTGTTTTGTGTGACAAAACTGCACATTTTAGACTGGCCTTTTATTGCCCCAGCACAAGGTGCACCTGTGTAATTATCATGCTGTTTAATCAGCGTCTTGATATGCCACACCTGTCAGGTGGGTGGATGATCTATCTTGGCAAAGGAGAAATGTTCACTAACAGGGAAATAAAATAATTTATGGACAAAATTTGACAGAAATAAGCTTTTTGTGTGTATGGAAAATGTATGGGATCTTTTATTTAAGCTCATGAAACCAACACTTTACATGTTGGGTTTATATTATTGTTCAGTATATGTGACTAGCTATGTGATTTATTAGAAAAGTATTATGTACTGCACTGACACTTCAAAGTCGTAGGATGGCGCTGTGATATAAAATCAAAAAACAGCTTCAAGTTCCGGAAATGAACGAATGACCGTCAACGCTTCAGGTCGGTCGACATTTTGGTAGACTTTCTTAGCAAGTTAGCAAAATAAACTGGCATATTTGGCCGCCAGACACCTCTCATATAGCAGTGTTTGACAAATAAGCGATTTTGTCACTTGCTTCACCCACATTGCAACTATGTGGTACGAAATTCTTCCTGGTCTTGGCGTCATGACAGCTTGTCTCATCCTTCCGGGGGTTTTCACTGCACAGATCCACAAACTGACCAACGGGGGGAAGGTGAGAGAATGTTGCTTTCCAATGTTTTGAATGACTGCAGTAGCTAGCAAAATATTCATTTTTAAACTGGTTGAAGTTATACTATTAACAATTTTTGTATACTAGTAGTAAATTAGCTGCGTTAACACTTATTCTCCTTAACTTTTGCTTAGGAAAAGAGAATCGCCAGGGTTCCATACCAGTGGTATCTGATGGAGAGAGACAGAAGAGTGTCAGGAGTGGATTTGTATTACAAATCGAAGGTAAATAGCTAGGCGATTAATTCAAATGTCAATGCAGTCATTTAGTACTGTAACGTTATTACAACTGACCAGCAGTCAGCCATCGCTTAGGCCTAACTAACTATTTATTCTTTACAGGGACTTGAGAACATCCACTGATTCCAAGATCTCACATATTAATGGAATTCTAATCTGTCATAATTTGTTGTAAATTAATAAAGTTCTATATTGTCTGAATTAATCATTTTCTTTGTTTAGTTACTACTCATTATGTTGAAAACCTGACGAAAAAACAAATCGGGTTTACAGTTCAATGTATTCAATAGGCAATTGTCACTATCTATTACTCCTAAGGAATTACTCATATTCACTGATAATCATAACATGTTATGTCTGTCTGAACCAATGATGTGTGTGTATACACTGAAAAAAAAAAAATTTCAACAATTTCAATAATTTAACTGAATTACAGTTCATATAAGGAAATAAGTCAATTGAAATACATTTATTAGGCCCTAATCTATGGATTCCACATGGCTGGGCAGGGGTGCAGCCACCTGGCAGGGCATAGGCCCACCCACTGGGGAGCCAGGCCCAGCCAAACAATGTGTTTTTCCCCACAAAATTGCTTTATGCAGACAGAAATACTCCTCAGTTTCATCAGCTGTCCGGGTGGCTGGTCTCAGACGATCCCGCAGGTGAAGAAGCCGGATGTGGAGGACCTGGGATGGCATGGTTACGCGTGATCTGCGGTTTTGAGGCCGGTTGGACGTACTGCTAAATTCTCTAAAAGGACACGGTAGAGAAATGAACATTACATTCTCTGGCAACAGCTCTGGTGGACATTCCTGCAGTCAGCATGCCAATTGCATGCTCCCTCAAAACTTGCGATATCTGTGGCTCCATTGAGATCCTCTGTAGCTCAATTGGTAGAGCATGGCGCTTGTAACGCCAGGGTAGTGGGTTCGATCCCCGGGACCACCCATACGTAAAAATGTATGCACACATTGTAAGTCGCTTTGGATAAAAGCGTCTGCTAAATGGCATATTATTATTATTATTTTAGTGGCCTTTTGTCCCCAGCACAAGGTGCACCAGTGTAATGATCATGTTGTTTAATCAGCTTCTTGATATGCCACACTTGTCAGGTGGATAGATTATCTTGGCAAATGAGAAATGCTTACTAACAGGGATGTAGTAATAAGCTTTTTGTGCGTACGGAACATTTCTGGGATCTTATTTCAGCTCATGAAACATGGGACCAACACTTAACGTAGCGTTTATTTTTGTTCAGTGTATATCAACAAACATTTTTTGAATAAACATTGAGTTTGGCGTTACTGCTATTAGCCCATAGAAACTTATTGAATAACAGATTCACTACATGGAACAACAAATAGTCCAAAAAAATAAGTATCTGAAGGAAGTTTGTTGTTTAGTGTCTGTCCTATCTGAAAGAGGCTTTTTTTTTTTACACCTGTTTAACCCCTTATTTTAGCCACTAAACTACTTACATATATACTTCCATAATTTAAAAAAAACGTGTACCGGGGTACCTTCAGACAAGTCTTGTGAGGCTTGTGTTCGTCCTAGAGCAAAACAACTAAAATGTTTGTGAGAGACTCACCTTTCCATAGAGGGGTCATGTTAGTGTGTAGCCCAAACAGTTTGGACGCTACAGACAGAAGTTGGCAGATCTACAGTATCGACTTCAGACGAGTCCTGTGACACTTGTGGGGGTCATAGAGCAAAACGGAGAGTCTCATCTTTCCCATACAGGTGTAGGCCGAACTGTCGGGCGCTACAGACGTTTGTGAGAATGATTTTCGGGACGTCTCATGGTCTGACAAACACCGCTGTAGCCCTACCACCTTTCACCGCAGATGCGGAAGGGCGTCATCGGATGCAATGGATTGAGACATAGCAATGCTAAAATGATGATATCTCTAGCTTAAACAGATGGATTTTGATGGAGATTTTTGTATTATGCTAGGTAAGTGTAGGCATACTACCTTTATAAGCACATTAATATATTTACAGCATAAAATGTTTTGTCTTTTTAACATGAACACGCTCATCCATTTTGAGTTGCTAAAATGTATCTACACTCAAGATGGGCAACTTTTGTGCAATGTCCACATGTAACCTACATATGTTGTAGGGATATTAGTAGTTTTTGGATTGGTCCCCTGGGAAAGATTTAACAGCGGACATAAGGAGATACAAAACATTGGGTTACAGATGTAACCTTAGTTCTCTGAGTAGAGTAACGGATCGCCAAATGACCTATGGGAAGTTCTTCCCCTTCACACAATGTGTTGAGATGCTTAATATCAAAATGTTTACAGACCTACTGTCTATTACTTCACTCGAACCCCACGGAGGTGGAGGAACAACATGAAAGCGTGGCGACCCATTACTCTACTCAGAGAACCAAGGTTACATCCCATAACCCAAAGTTCTCTTTTGTTTCGTAATGGGTCGCCAAACGACCTATGGGGTCGTTCGGAGAACTCACCGTTTCACTTAGTCCAGATGAGTCCCTGGGACCTCCTTGTATCCAAAAATGATAAGAGGCTGTCTGCGCTCTTTTAAGGTCCTTACTACTGATTAGTGTCTGTTTCAGGTGCGTAGGAGTCAAAATAAGAATACTGGAAGAGATGGAGACCTGCACACTGCCGAAAAAATTTATAACCCCAAAACTGAGGCTTGAATGCAAAATAAAGATGTTTATTAAAACATCAGTGCATAAATGAAAGGTGAAAACAAAACACAAACATTTCGGCCTCAGGCCATCATCGGCACACACACCTGGCTTCTAGTTCAAGGATAATTGCATATGTCACATGATCAAGCATGAAAACATCCGAAAATCTATGAATCAGTACATAGTGCAATAGAATGCATGATCTAGATTACCTACAGAAGCGGACAGAGAAATATAATCAATTATTGCTTTTACATTTACCATGTGAACATTTCCTCAGAATAAATAACACAGGATTGTAAGAGAAGGGAGCTAGAGATACCATTAGATGGGGGTATCTTACACCAATGAGGCAATATACCAGTTACAGAAAACACTTCAATAACAATTATTCATTCATGCCTGATGGGTGGAGAGTTTTTAAATGGAACATCCACCTGCATTTTGTCTGGAGAAGACTAAGTTCAAGATTACCACACCTACGTGAGTGTTTTATCTGCTGTATAACACAGAAGGACATGGAGGAGACTGGGTGACCGGTCTCTGAGAAATGATGTGCAATAGGGGATTTAGGGTCATTTCTCCTTACAGCACTCTTGTGTTCTATAGTACGTGTTCTTAGCTGTCTACTGGTTTTGCCCATGTATTGCTTATTGCATGGACAAGAGATAATGTATATGACATTAGAAGAGCTGCATGTGAGGAACTGTTTGATAATGTATTGTATGTGGCAGAGCTGCTGAATACGCTCACTTTTTTTTACAGGAATCCCTACATGCCACACAACTACGGCAGGGGTAGAAGCCAGTCACCGCATCCAGTCTTCCATAATTTCTTTTCGGGGGGACATGAGTGTCAGCCCGAACAATGAAGTCCCTGACATTCCTGGCCCTGTAGTGTGAAAAGAGAGGAGGGTCAGAGAAAATATTTTGGCAAGAAGGATCAGCCATTAGCACATTCCAATGTTTCTTAATCGCTCCCTTGATGTCATCACTCAAAGGAGAATATGTAGTGGTACAGACACATGAATGGATTTTCTTACTTTTATCCCTTCTGGTTGAGGTCTCATCAATGGTAGACTTCCTTGCAATATGATTTTTTAAATAAACATCTTTATTTTGCATTCAAGCCTCAGTTTTGGATTTATTAATTTTTTTGACAGTGTGCAGGTCTCCATCTCTTCCAACCTCCTTGTATCCACCACAGGATGCAACAGAATATAATTACCCAACAGGGTAGCACAGAATTAAACTGTGTTATATAACCGTATACACAAGAAAGCTGAAAGATAGAACTTACAACATGAGGCTTCAATTGGGTGCAACAGCACCAAGAGTGGAAGGCCTCTGTATAAAACATCCATCTCACTGATGGTTGATAAGTAAGTACAGTATGTACAAGGTTCACGGTACGTTCACTTATCTGGGTTGAGAGAGTGTGCCGTGTCCAGAACCACAGACCCCACTGATGGTTTGGACATAGCATTGAGTCTGTAGTACCTCATGAAAGTCATGGGTGTTACCCAGCTTGCAGCAGCACAGATAGGGATCAGGGAGGCCCCTCTGAACAGGGCCAATGAAGTGGGCATACCCCTGGTGGAGTGTGCTACCATGCCGTCTGGAGTTGGTCTACCTGCTGCAGCGTATAATGTTGACACTGCATTGGTAATCCAATGTGCCAGCCTCTGTTTTGAGACAGCGTGCCCTTTGATGTTCTCCCCATAACACACAAAAAGCTGTTCTGTTTGACAAACGGTTCTTGTTGCAGCAAGATAGGCACTCAATGCCCTAACCTGGCAAAGTGTATGCCACTCACGACTCTCCTGGGAGGAGTGGGGAGGCGGATGAAATGCCGCTATGATTAAGGGCTGGCTAGCATGTGATGATGAAAGGACCTTAGGTAAGAATGCTGGATTTGGCCAAAGCACTGCCTTAGATCCATCTTCTGATAAAGTGAGGCATGAAGGATGGGTAGGAAGCACATGCAATTCTCCAATACGCATGGCTGAATCAATAGCCAATAGAAAGGCAGTCTTGACTGAGAGCTCACATAGCTCAAGTGAAGACGGGCTCAAATGGTGGGCTCATAAGTGATCGTACGACAACATCTAACTCCCATGAGGGTACTGAAGGTGATGCACCTGCAATCTGGTCATGACTCATCGAGATGGCTGCCATATACACTTTCAATGTAGATGGGGACTTCCCTGCAGCCATAAGCTCCTGGAGGAAAGTCAAAATGACAGAAAATGGGCAGGAAGTTGCACTGTCAACACACCACTTCCTGAACACATTCCACTTGTAGGAATACAGGGTTCACGTAAAGGATGCCCTATCTGTCTGAATTGTATCAATTACCAATGACGGCAACCCTGCAGCTACAAGGCGGTCACGTTCAGGGGCCACATCCACAACTTCAGAATGCTAGGTTTAGGGTTCCATAGCTTGCCGTT